ATAATTGAGGAAAAATTACAACAGGCACATGTGGACAGGGTGAATCCAGAGCTCGATTGTATTCTCGTCATATTACCATCCAAAATTTCTCCTACAGGAATTTTAATGCAGAGAGATGATATTATCTTGGAATGGATCTTTTTACCACATAAACCAAGTAAAAAACTGAAAACTTATGTGGAAAAAGTCTCTGAGTTAATTATAAAAGGCAAGCTGAGACTTCGTCAACTAGCAGGCATAGACCCAGCAGAAATTATAGTGCCTTTCACTGCTGATGAACTAAAGAAATTATGGGAAGATAATGAAACATGGCAAAGAGCTTGTGCTAATTTTTTGGGAGACATTAATAACAACTATCCAAAAAGCAAGAGGCTTAACTTCATAAAGAGAACTTCTTGGATCCTTCCTCGAATCGTCCGTGATGCTCCAATAACTGGAGCCCGTACATTCTATACTGATGCCAATAAAACAGGGAAGGCAGGTTACAAATCGGAAGACTTGGGTAAGGTGGAACAAAGTCCTTATGATTCTGTCCAGAAGGCAGAATTATATGCCATTCTTATGGTGCTAAGGGATTTTAGAGAACCTATTAATATAGTTACTGATTCACAATACGCAGAAAGAGTTATTTTACATATTGAAACTGCTGAATTTATACCTGATGATACAGAACTAACCTCATTGTTTATCCAGGTTCAAGATTTGATCAGGAACAGGCTTTGCCCTATGTACATAACACACATCCGATCCCATACGGGTCTGCCAGGTCCTCTAGCACAAGGTAATGCAGAAATTGATCAATTATTGATTGGTAGTGTGCTACAAGCCTCTGAATTTCATAAAAAACATCATGTTAATAGCAAAGGTTTGAAGAAAGAGTTTTCTATCACATGGCAACAAGCTAAGGAGATTGTAAAGAAATGCCCTACTTGCTCTTTCTATAACCAAACGCCACTGCCTGCAGGGGCTAATCCAAAGGGCACCCAAAGGAATGAAATCTGGCAGATGGATGTGTTTCACTTTGCAGAATTTGGCAAATTGAAGTATGTTCACCACACCATTGACACTTATTCAGGCTTTCAGTGGGCAACTGCTTTAAGTTCAGAAAAAGCTGATTCAGTAATCACTCATTTATTAGAAGTCATGGCTATCATGGGTATACCTACACAAATAAAGACAGATAATGGTCCTGCTTATGCCTCTAGGAAAATGAAACGGTTTTTTGACTATTACAATATCAAGCATGTTACAGGTATACCATACAATCCTACAGGTCAAGCAGTCATAGAAAGATCAAATCGAACTATAAAGGATATGTTGAATAAACAGAAAGGGGTGGAAAACACCCCCAGAAATAGGTTACATAATGCTTTGTTAACCTTGAATTTTCTTAACGCTAATGAGAAGGGGACAACGGCTGCAGAAAGACATTGGATAATGGAAAAGTCTACTGAACTAAATCAACCAGTTTATTTCAAGGATGTGCTGACCTCACAATGGAAGCCAGGAGATGTGCTGCGTTGGGGAAGGGGTTTTGCTCTTATCTCCACAGGTGAGGAACAATTGTGGATACCGTCAAAATTAATAAAGGTTCGGTATGAAGAAGAAAAGCCATTTGGAAAAGATAAATAACAATTCATTCACAAGGATGGCGAGCATACTGATGGTAAGGAATTCAGGTAGGTTGGGGGCAGGTTTTTTTTTTTTTTTATCTCCACAGGAAAATACTGATCTTCAAAGAATTTAAGGGACCCTGAATATTTAATAACTGATGGATGGAAAATAGTTACGACCCACTAAGACTCAACAGTAACATGAGTAAGTATTGATTATATATATATTTTCTTTTTTCTCTTTGAACGCTTCTTTATAAATATGTAGAGCTGGTTTTGGAGTTGGACTATGGCTCAGTCCCTCTTCAATTCCAAGCCTGTTGATAAGAGATATCTCAGAGTTTCTGTCTCAGATCAGGAGCCATGAAATGGGACAGAATGAGGATAATTATATACTTGATAAACTTTCTTTGCTTTTCCTCATATCTGTGTCTTTCTTTATATGTCAGAATATGTCCTTGTTGTTAATGTTTAAATTTCCCATAACAAGCAACAAATTTCCCTACAGTAATTTTTGAAGTTTCCAGGATGAAGATGGGGCCCCACAACATCAACTCAACCTGGTTTTTATGACGTCATGAATATTTTTTTTCTTTTTCTCTTTTTTACGCGCTAATATGAGACCTGTTTTTTGGTACCAACTGCACAAGACAATTTCGAATGGTGCACATTTTTGACAACACTCTGGCCGGACCTTCTCAAAGTGCTCAGGGACTAGTTATAATTTTCTTAGGTCAAAGGTTAATTTGGGAATTTTACCATCATTTGCTTTCACAGGAGCCCCTAAGGAGAACATCGCCCCCATGTCAGCTTGAAGCAATCTTAGAGGACGACGTCCCCTCTCCCAACAGAGTTTGCCCTCAGGGTTAGGGACATCTTTTAGTGGTTGGTTTGGGGTTGAGGGGATGGGGAGATGTTTTATGGAATTAGGGGTATGTTCGAAAAAAAAAAAAGGGGGGGGGATTAACTGGTTTGATGGGATGATTGGTATTTGTGAGTTACTGTTTTTAGAAAATTGTATTGGTACTGTTTTCTGTATATTGACATATTGAATATTGAATGTGAGTGTTCCTACCTCTATTTTTGTATAAGAATATGCTTATATTGTATTGATACATCTACCATATCACAATGTACATTTCTACCTCTGATACTATTTATGTAATAACATTGTTTACATTTGATATGTAATGACATTGTTTACAGATGAAGATCATTGTCTTCATATATTGCACAGTTGTTTATTGTTTTAGTCTTTAAGTTAGATAGATATTGAGAATTATATAGATTAATAGTCATCTAAGTTTGTCATTTGTAATTAGACTAATCAGGTTCTTTAGATATATAGAGATTATACTCAGTATAGATAGATAATCTTCAACCTCTTTGGAGAGCTGTAGAATATGGCCTTTAATATAACTCAGAGTTTCGTGATAGTGAGACACAATTGCTCCTGGCAACACCGCTCTATTCCCGAGAGAACGTTGAGCACCAAAGACACTCCACTGGGAGCTTGTCTTCTTGGCAGAACTGGCCTTTGGGTTAAGAAAAGCCCATACCTCAACCACTGACAAAGATACAGAGCGTGCATCAATGGATACAACAGGACTGTCATATCCTGCCAAGACAGGGTAAGATAGTTTTGAAAAGTTCCTTGCCTTTAATAATGGTATGTCAGTTATGTTAGGCCTTAGCCAAAGTTGGTTGACTCAACATTGCAAACGAGACTTTGGGTGATTGCTCAGGTAGTCAGTTGTCTTTGTCAATTGTTACACATTTGGATCGTTTGTTAAGTAATATTTATTGCCTTCTCGGATCTTTGATGGAGTTGAAGATTATATAATTGTAGTTACTCTCTACATTATTTAGACTCCTTGAGATAGAATGTTTAGCAAAACTTTTGATTCTCAATATTGTTTGTTATATTTATTTGTTATTATTGTATATAGTTGTATTTGGTTTAGTTCTGTCTTATTTAGACAAAAGGGGGAGATGTAGGGATAAGTCCCACCCCTTAGGGGGTGTGTTCGCCTCAGGCTAAAGTTTTCCTATAAATTTGGCGAGCGTGCGCCCAGCGCTCGCTTCTGCTTTCCTGGTCTCCGCGGGAATGGTGGTTCTGTAAGTCTATTCCTCCATTAAAGCTGTCTATATTTTGACAATCTGTCTGCATTCGCTTACGCCGTTACAACATATAAAGCAAAAGTATTCTGTATGTCACATTGGATTTGAGACTGCAACTGACTGAGATTCACCAATGAAGTGCCAGGACTCAGCCTTTAGTTTTCAGCCTAGATAACACAGAAATCTACCACTTGTGGTTCTGAGGATCTAACTCCCTCCTTGCGACCTCTGCAGGAACCAGGCACATACATGGTACACATACACATATGCAGCCCAAACACTCATACACATAAAAACAATTTTAAAATATCATAACAATAGTTCTTTTAGTTTATCAAATATAGTCAAATTAGAATAATTTTATCAGAAAAATAATCAACATGAATATAGATTTTAAAAAATTATAAAATGTGGGCTGGGAATGCAGCTCAGTTGGTAGAGTGCTTGCCTAGTATGCATGAAGCTCTGGGTTTGATTCCCAGCAGCCAATGTTAAGCCATGAAGACCAATGGGCTGTGATTCCAGCACCTGGAAGGTTGCTAGGTAAGAAGTTGACAGTCATCTTTTGGCTACATAGTAAGTTCAAATCCAGCCAAATACAAATGAAACCCTGTCTTTAAAAAAAAAAAAAAAAAGCCAGGCGGTGGTAGCACTGCCTTTAATTCCAGAGTTCAGGAGACAGGTGGATCTCTCTGTCTGAGTCCAGCCTGGCCTACAGAGCAAGTTCCAGACAACCAGCCAAAGCTGTTGCATAAAGAAATCCTGTCTCAAACAACAACAAAGAAACACAAAATAGAGGAAAGTATATATAGTAAATTCTAAAGTAAACCTACAAGGAAAACAATGAGAAAATTTAAAACTTATAGTTTTCTTTATATAGTTTATGAAAGAAAACTTTATATAGTTTATATATAAAGAAAACTTTAATAGTTTATGAAAGAAAACTTTCATAATTTAGAATTATGAAAGTATATTAAAAGATGCCCATATATAAGAGCCCAAAGAATAAATTTTTTGTTTCTACATGCATATTGTTAATTATTCAAATAAACAAAAAATATACAAGAGTGGTTATGGAAACAAACACACATGGACCACAAATCAAGGCTTGGTTATTGTTTTGAAGAAAACATTAGTTCTTTTTTTAAATTATTAAGTACAACTTATTCATCAGAACATATACTTAACATAACATGATTAAGAAATAATACAGGCAGAAAATGATTTCTTAAGCACACTAATTTTAAGTAAAGAAAATAAAGCAACCTTTTCCTGGAACAAATAGCCCAGTAGCTCCTGTTCTCTTACATCAAAATTTATCTAAAATAAACAAAAAAGAAAACAAAAAGAAAACAAAAAAATCCAGAATCACTCAATGTGTTAAGACTAGTCAAATTACTAAATAAAACTTATATACAATTTTAGCTATTAGCATGTTAAAATAATTTTTACATTAGCAATAGTAAAAATTAAATCATGGTCAGCACTGTCTATCAACCAAAACTAATATTTTCGTAGTTTTAATGTTAGGCTGACTAGTATTAATCTAATATCCCCTATGGGGAAATAAGAGCCCTGACAATGAAGTTACCAGCACAGCTTGCATGAAAGCTGGGGTCGGCCTCCAGTGCTACCAGAGAAGGAGACATAAACTACAATCTGCCCGAACGACAGAAGCCCAGCCTCTCTTCAGCAGTTTCACCTTTCTGTTCCGACTACAGAAACCTGATACAAAGTACCCAAAGACTGCATGCTCTCTCCACCCGGGAAGAATTTCCACAGTCCACCTGAAGTCAATAGCCATTAGAGATGGAGAAGGTAAACAGGAAAGGCGGGCAGTGGAGGAGGTGGGAAGTCAAGCAAGTACTAGAACACAATCAGGCTAGGCACGGTATCCCAAGCTGGGAGTCTCAGCAATTCAGAGGTAGGGATGGAAGGCTCGGAGTTCTGGGTCAGCCCCGGCCACACACAAGATTGATGGTAGCCTGGGCTATGGGAGCCCTTAACTCAAAAACAAAAACAAACAAACAAAAACCCCAGGAAAAAAAATCTACCATTAGAAGGAATAAATTCTAGTGTTCACATCACAGTGGGAGGATTATTTGCATAATAACCTATTAAGTATTTTAAGAAAATACTAAGACAGGATCTCAAAAGTTCTAAACAGTAAAGAATGAAAAGATATAAAATCTAATTATCTTGACTGGATCAGACACACTGTGCACATGTGTTAAAGTAAATACGCAAATTATTACATGCCAATACAAAATTTTAATTAAGATTTAAAAACTCTATTTTTTTTTTAAAAAAAAAATCTGTATTTAAAAAACAGTCACCATATTATGTATCTATCAGGAGTCAATCTGAGTCTCTCGCTCCCTACCACAGTCTCATCAGCTATTTCAATGTTTACTCACCTCACACTATGGTGAGAAGCACTCCACAGTGAAAAAGTACAGACCTGAAGTCTGAAGCGTTAAATTTAGGAAGGAAGAATGGGAAAGATCTCGTAAAGTAAAAAGCTGATACTGGCACATGTCTATAATCCCAACAGTGAGAGGTTAGGGCAGGAGGACCAAGGAAGTTCTAGCCTGGGTTATTTAGCAAGTTTTGGGCAAGCCTCAATGACACAGCAGGAACTGTGTTTCTATATATAAAATATATAAAGCTAAATCCATAACATATTGAATTGTTTCAAAATATAAATAATACCTAAATGCGACACCTAATGTTAATCAGAACTGTCACAGAAACTAGACCAAAGATTTTATTTAAATCTATTTAATAGTATCAATATGCAAAATACTCCCAACATATATCACTCATGTATACCTCTATCTATTAAAATGTACAATTCTAAGAATGTGTATTTAAGCCAAAGATTTCAAACATTTGAAAGTATTTTGGAATTTCTATAGACTAATATTTTTGAGTGTACACACAATCATAAGTCCAGTAGAATTACCTTGTCCAAAGCAAACTTAGTGTCTCCAACGGAAGATAATGACAGCGTATGAGATCCAACAAGGGTAAAGTTGCTAGTGCGCACAGCACTGAGACCTCCTGGACTGGCCATAACTGTAGAGAAATGCAGCAAAATTTAGTTCAGTTTGGCTTTCCTAAGTTTGAATAGAAATGGCCCCATAGGCTCATATTTCAATGCTCAGTCCTCAGCTGATAAATCATTTGAGAAGTTATGAGGGTGTGTGACCTTGCTAGAATAGCCTTGCTGTGTGTCCTCATGGGAGATGTATCACTGGGGGTGGGCTTTGAGATTTAAACAGCCCATGCCAAGCCCAGTCTCAACCTCTTTCAACACCTACCTCCCAATGCCCCAAACCACTGCCCGTGGATCAGAATGTAAAGCTCTCAGTTACTGCCTGTCTGGTTCCGGCCATGATGGACTCACCCTCTGAAACTGGAAGCAAGTCCCCAATTAAATGCCTTTTTTTCTAAGTGATGCTTTGGTCATGGTCTCCACAGCATTAGCACGGTGACCATGACACTAAGTAATAAGCAATGACTTCTCACTAAATAAAAACTGCCGGAGAGAATCTGCCTCATTTTCCTTTTCATTCTTTGTCTTTTGTGACAGGGACGCATCCCTTTGGCCAGGCAGGCTAGACTACCAGACAGCCCAGAATGGCCATGAAAGCACAACAATCCTCTTGCTTCAGCTTTTCAAGTATTGAGATCACTCACAAGTTTGAGGCTCCATGTGCAATGTCCTCCAGTTTTACTTTAGTGTATTTGATTGTTTGTGTGCACGTGCAGTCTTGTGAAGATCAAGAGAACAATTTGACAAGTCAGTTCTTTCCTGCCATGTTGTGGCACCCCAGGATCAAACTCAGACCGTAAGGCCTACATATAAGAATCTACCTGCTCAGCCTTATCACTGTCTCATCTCGACTTTAAATATGGAAGAAAAGCAAAGACCAAGCTTTCCTAACAAAAGTATTTAGAAAATTATCTTTAACTGAAATGCAGGCACTTATTTTTTTGTTTTGTTTTGCTTTTTGTTGTTGTTTTTTTCGACACAGGGTTTCTCTGTAGCTTTGGTGCCTGTCCGGGAACTAGCTCTTGTAGACCAGGCCTGCCTCTGCCTCCCGAGTGCTGGGATTAAAGGCATGCACCACCACCGCCCGGCTCAAGCACTTCTTAACATTTGGTAAAATTATGTTTTTAATGACACAGAACCTAAAAATTTTTCGACATAAATAAAGCAATTTCCCCATAAAAAAATTCAGAGAAGTTGACCAGCTAGATGGCTCAGTAGGTAAAGGCATTTGCCAAGCCAAACCTTATGGCCCAGTTTCCATCACTGGAATCTATAAAGTGTAAGAAGAGAACGAACTCTGACCTAGATATGTGCATGTATACACAGACACATATCAGTAAATAAAATGACAAGAAATATGGAAAAGACTCCCTTACTATTGGTAATCCTGAGTGATCTTAGTAACTTTCTTGTACCACAGTTGAGAGAACAAACACACGACGTAAATGAGGCCAGTTCCATCACAACCCACTTTGAAAACCTGAGCCTAAATTCATTACAGAGGACTTTTCTTGATCACTAGCAACCCAGTTCCCAGGGCCCTAGAGAGATGCTTTGTTGACATGTTACAATGCTAGTTGAAATCAGTAAGTTACAGAAGCAAAGTTCAGTTGGGCGGTGGTGGCGCACGCCTTTAATCCCAGCACTTGGGAGGCAGAGGCAGGCGGATCTCTGTGAGTTTGAGGCCAGCATGGTCTACAAAAGCTAGTTCCAGGATAGCTAGGACTGGTACACAAAGAAACCCTGTCTTGAAAAAAAACAAAAAAGAAGCAAACTCCATGGCGTTGATAATAAAAAAAGTGAAGCAAGGCTGAAGAATAACACTACTTGCTGGAATTACTAAGTGACTAGTCATCACTGCTATAATCTGAAAAAACCCCTAATGATTAGCTTATATTGCTGCCTAACAAATCAGACTACAATCTATTCTGGCCAGTAATAAAAAAAAAAATCCCTGTAGGAAATGTCTTCCTGTGGCTGGAGAGATGGCTCAATAGTCAAGAACGCTCAATGTCCTTACAGAGGACCAGAGTTCAATTGCCAGCACTTATTAAGATGTGGCTTACAATAATTGCCTTTAACTCTAGCTCCAGGAAATCCAACATCCTCTTCTGGCCTCTATGTGCACCTGCATTGCATATGCAGATATGTACGTGCCAACAGGCGTGCACACACACAATTAAAATTAAAGATCTATCTTAAGGGGCTAGAGAAGCAGTTCAGTGCTTAAGAGCACTGGACCTTCTTTAGAGAACCCAGGTTTAATCCTTAGTACCCATAAGAGATTCATAGCCACCTGTAACTTCAGTTCCAGAGGAGCCACACACAAATACACACATCACATGAAAAAAATTTTTTAAAACTCTTAAAAAAGAAAATACTTTTTCAAACCAAATCAAGAAGGCGTATGTATATGGGTGTGTATGGTTGGATATATTTATAAAGGTATGCAACTGCTAAATTTACTTATTCTAAAGCTTCAAATAGTTTAGATCCACTCACCTGAAGAATGAAGGTTGCTTTTCTAACAAAAAAAAGGATGAAGAAGACACATTAATTATCTATTATTTAGTATGAAATAAAGTACAAAATTTTAACACTACAAGGACTACAGTTGAAAAAACACGCTTCCTATATAAGTACCAGTAATTAACATTCACTTACTTTGAGAAAGTCTTTCTTTGTAGTCCAGATTGGACTTGCCCCTGCTTCTGTCTCTCAAGTCCTGGGACCCGTTAGTGCATTTTAAAGACTTCTATACTAGTAAAGGCTTAAAGCTAGTTTCTCAATTTGTAGTTTTATTAAAAATGTAGATTTATCAAGAGAATTTGATTTTTAGAAAAATTCTACTTACTGAAGTTATAGATGTGAGAAGTCTCTTTGGAGTAATAGCCTGGAAAAGGAGAGAGCTTAGCATATTTTCTATTAAATATTGCAATTCAGAGCTTTAATGTTCTTACATAGAAAATAACTGTTAAATACAAACATTATAGACCACACTAAATTCCTTTATCAAGGCTTTTCAAACACTGCTTTACTCTTTGGAAGTAGCGCGCAACTTGTGCAACAAAAAATTTAGAATAAAGGAAGACTTTAAAACTGGGGACAGAAAAGAATTTTTCTTTTTTGGTTTTTTGAGACAGGGTTTCTTTGGGTAGCCCTGGCTGTCCTGGAACTCACTCTGTAGACCATGCTGTCCAAGATCTGCCTCCCAAGTGCTTGGATTAAACTCATGTGCCCCCACCACCCAGCCGGAAGAAATGTCTAATGACTTAGGAAGAAAACAAAAGAACAAAGATTAGAAAGGCGGAAACCAAGACCCCAGTAATCATATTTCTCAACCTTGGCCTTGCAGACCTGCTGAGACAGGAGCACAAAGGAGCTGAAGTAAGCTATAACTCAATTTTTAAGCAATATTCAGAAAATAAGATATTTGCATGTATTAGAAGGGCCCTGATTACACTTACAATGACTTGTGTATGTTTACATTCTACAGTCATACCTATACTTAATTCAGTAAATAGAAATTTGGATCCTGTAATTGATTTAAAAAAAAACAAAACTTTAAATCACTGAAACTTACCAGACAGTGGCACCATTAGAGTGTGGCCTTAGAGTGTGTGGCCTTGATAAAGGAAGTGTCAGAGGGGATGGACTTGAAGGTTTCAGAAGCTCAAACCAGGCCCAGTCTCTCTCTCCTGCTGCCTGCTGATTCAGATGTAGAACTCAAGCTACCTCTCTAGCACCGCCTGCCTGCCATGTTTCCTGCTGTGACCATAATGGACTAAACCTGAACATAAGCTAGCTCCAATTAGATGCTTCCCTTATAAGCATTGCATGGTCACAGAGTCTCTCACAGCAATAGAACACTGACTTAGATGCTTTTACTAGGTCTCTATAACTCTCACCTTGGACTTTAATGCTTTCTTCTTCTTATCAGGGCCTGATGAATCTTTCTTTTGTACCTGCACACAAATCCAAAGCATAACTATCTTAAAATTTGGTATTATTAAGGAAATATATTATTGTTCATTTCAGAAAGCTTTTTAACTGCTTACCAAGCTGTAAACTTCAACATTTATTTCAAAGTCATTGGAAACATCATTCCTGGAAAAAAAAAAGTATTAAATAAAACTGTAATAAAAAACTAAACTCATGTCTTTAAAAACAATGCACAAATATGGTTACAAGACTCAAAGTAAAAGATTCCATTGTATTTTTAAGAAATACAACTAAACCTGTAAAGAATGATTAAAAAAAATGGTACAAACATGTATTTTCTAAGATAAAGTTCAGAGATATTGCGTTATAAAAATCAAGGTCTTTACTAATAATAAAGTAAGGCCAGTGAGGTAAATGTGCTTGCAACCAAGGTTGCATGAGCACTGAGCTCTATCCCAAGACCTACAGAACAAAAGAGGACTCCTACAAGCTGTCCTTCTGACTCCCTCATTCCTGGGCTGCTGCATGCAGGCAATTTTAGAAGTTTATAGGATAAATAATACTAGTAATGATAAAGGCAGAAAGACTTTTTTCTTAAATTAAGATTTTGACTGCAGTTTAATTTGTATAAAATACAAATAAATATGTATTTGATACTAGTTATCTTTTAGCGATAATAAAATATTGTTACAGCTAGGCAAGATGGCGCATGCTTTTAATTCCAGCACTTGGAAGACAGAGACAGGCAGATCTCTGAGTTTGAGGCCAGCCTGGTCTACAGAACAAATACTATGATAGCCAGGACTACAAGGAGGAACCCTGTCTTGAAAACTCAAAACTCAAAAATAAAAAAATATTATGTGATTTAAAGCATCTATAAAAATAATGGTGCAAAATACTGAAGCACAATATATACTGCATATCTATAGTCAAAAGTATCAGTGAAAATAAATCAGAAAGAAGAGCTAAACAGAACAACTGAAAATTGAGTTATCTGTTCATATTTAAAGAATAAACAGGGGTCCAGAAGATGGCTCAGAAGCTAAAGGGGCTTGCTGCACAGGCCTAACAACCCAAGTTCAATACCCAGAGCTCACATAAAGGCAGAAGGAGAGAACAGATTCTGGTTATCCTCTAACTTCCACACATGCACTATTAAACACAAACCCATGCACCCACATCATGCAAGTACACACACACACAAACAGATAATAATCACATATACATTCTTAAAGATTAATTATTTTTATTTTATGTGTATGGGTGTTTTGTCTACATGCATGTCTATGTACCACACCTGTATGTGGTGGCTGCAGAAGCTAGAAGAGAGCATTGGATCCTCAGGAACTAACTAGAGCTACAAATTGTTGTGAGCTGCCACAAGGATACTGGGAACTAAACTTGGTCCTGTGAAGAATAGCCTATGTTCTTAACCATTGAGCCATTTCTCCAGAATCTCATAAATAAACTTAAAAGGAAAAAGGAAAAAGGAGAAGAAGAAGAGGAAGAGGAAGAAAGAGAGGGAAAAAAATTTGCGAAAGGTGCTTCAAGGGCCTATCTCCACCCGAGACACTGGCAGCTGATGGTTACTGGGGTGGGGGAAGACATGGGGCATTTTTTTCAGTGGGGCAATCACTGATAAGTTGCCCATGCTATTGTTAAGTAACCCCTTACCCATGGTCCTGTAAGCAACCCTAATTTAAACTCATTAGCTCACTGAATAGTAACTAAAATAGACAAATTAAGGGGATGCATATGGTAGAGTACTTGCTTAGTTCACAAGGTCCTAGGCTTGGTTTCAGTACTACCAAAATGAAAAGACAAATGACTGAAAGCAGATGGGAGACTGTCTAGGAGAACAAAGGGATCAGCAGGAGTGAGATGAGACAAAAAAGGGTAGTGGGGAGCTAATATAACCAAAAATATATATTTGCAGGAATAAAAATAACATGTCATTATATATAACATATGCTAATAAAAACATTGCATTAATTATAATAAATTAGCAAACAAACATAAATACATTTTAAATACTATAAAAGTTTGGGGTCTGGCAGTGGCAGATAGATCTCTGAGTTTGAGACCAGCCTGATCTAGAGAGTGAGTTCCAGGACAGCCAGGGCTACACTAAGAAACTATCTCGAAAAATACCACCCCCACCAAAAAAAAAAAAAAAAAAATCTATAAAAGTTTGGGATGTAGTTTGCTGATAATGCATGTTTAGCATGCACAAAGCTGAGTTCCATCCCATGTACTACAACAGATAAAACGAGATCATAAGTTATCAGTCAAATGCTGAGATTGTCTCACTCTATTTAAAGAAAAACTTGTCTGAATCATGAGATATTCAATTTACTTACAGAGTAAATGTGGTGGCAAATGTCAGAGCGTCACCACTCAGAGAGTTTGAAGTACTTGCTAATGGTGTGGCGACCATATGGTCAGCTCCAGCTTTTAGCATAATTAAGTAGTAGTAATTTGATGCATCTGTAATAAGTAACCACATTGCAAAATTAGCAAGAGGATCAAACTTCGCTAGACAACATTCTGGAAGGTCAGAAGTCACACTGCACCTGACCCACATAAAATTTATATTTACAATGTCTAAGATCAAATTTCTCAAAATAAAAAAACTATGAAAGACAAGCCGATACCTATGGTCCTGGAATAAACAACAAGTCTTCTACTTACATAAAGCAAAATAACTTCATTCTACATTCTTCCCTTTCTGTTATAATCTATTAGGCAGTAATAAGTATATTCCTCTAAAAGCTAAATTATGATGTTATTTCAAAATTGACATTTAAAAACCTTAAATTGACATTTAAGGGTTACTCAGGGATAATATCTAATAAAAACATGAACTATTTATTCACTATTTATCACTAAGTAACAATATTTCAAAGACTAAATTACCAAGTTTTCTGCATTATACTAAAATCAGTCAACAGGAAATATAACCTAGATTAGCTCATTTCTACAATAATACTCAAACTTTTCTTCATTTGTTTGTTCAGAAACAGGAACTCCTTCTCTAACCCAGGCAGGCCTTGAATTTGAGAAGATATACTTTGTAATCTTCCAAACTACTGGGATTATAAACACAAGCCGCCACATCCAGTGAATGTTATTAAAAAAAAAAAAGTCCTAGAGACTGAATTCAGGGACTCATCATACATGTAAGGCAGCACTGGATCTCAGCCTATACCTCTGCCCCCCCCTTAAACTCTGGAGACACACAGGTGTCACTCAGTTGTTCATCTGGCCTTGAGCTCAGGACCACTGCAGCCTCCCAAGCAGTGGGATGACAACCTTGTTCCACATGGTCCCACTGAAGGCTCAACCATGTTATATCTCCATTCTTTCCCCAAACCTCAAATTCACTTCTCAATTTTAAGACTTCTTTACTCCAAAGATAAAGCTCTAATTAAATAAAAATGCAAAAGAATCTTAAAACAATTCTTATCCAACATTTCACATGAGTGTTCTAGAAATATCTTGCTGTTTTCAGAGCATACTGCCATATTCCTCTTTACCCATATGACTCTCATATCATTTTTTTTTGTAGATTAGGCAATCTTAAAAGGTCATTGTGGTTATCCAATCCAGAAAAGGAGATAGAACTTTAATATAGTATAGTCACTGAGCAATTATCACTCACATAACCAATAATTCAAAATTTCTAGAAGGAACTTATAAAATGGGGTGAATTTTAACAAGAATAAAGTAAACTTTTTAAATGACCTGGCACATAACAAAATTAATCATAATGAAATGTAGGAGAGGGGGGCCCTTGTTAGAGGGGCCCTGCTAGCTTACACCTGAAATAATCACACAGAAACTGTATTCATTTAAACACTGCCAAGCCCATTAGTTCTAGCCTCTTATTGGACGACTCTCACATCTTGATTCAACCCATTTCTAATAATCTGTATGCCACCAAGAGGCCGTGGCTTACTGGAAAAGATTCAGTATGTCTGACCTGGCAGCTCCATAGCGGCTCTCTCTCTTTGCTTTCTTCTCCCTAGAATTCAGTTCTGTCCTCCCCCCCCCCCGCCTTCCTAAGTTCTGCCCCATCACCAGGACCAAAGCAGTTTCTTTATTAACCAATGAAAGCAACACAAATACAGAAGGACCTCCTCACCAATGAAAGGCAAATGCCATGCCTTGTCAAGATAACCTAGGAAAAAAAACCTATGTTTTCTGTCATATTATGTTTGGTCTTACTGTGAGATAGAGGGATGCACATACTTGCATGGGTTGCTAACCCTATCATGTAAAATTTCCCCTAACTATTCAATATGAGAAATTGTCCATACTGTAATGATGTGGGAGTCCCCTCTGTATACTGTGATTACCGTTAATGAATAAAGAACTGCTTTGAGCCCACAGCAGAGCAGGGCAGGGTGGAGCAGAGCTAGGCAGGGAGGACTGCACTGAATGCTGGGAGAAAGAAGGGCAAAGTCAGAGAGATGCCATGGAGCCACCAGAGATAGACATGCTGAATCTTTGCCGGTAAACCACTGCCACGTGGCGATATACAGATGAATAGAAATGGGTTAAATTAATATAAGAGTTAGCCAACAAGAAGCTAGAGCTAATGGGCCAAACAGTGTTTTAATTAATACAGTTTCTGTTTTATTATTTTGGTTCTGGGCAGCCAGGATGAACAAGTGTACTACTGCGACAATGTAAGATGGAAGTTTTGCATCATAATGCATACTTAAATCTTTCTCAAACAAATGCAAAGTGGACTTCACAACTTTCTGTGTAATCCAGCCTCATACCTGGTTTCTGAGCGGTGCTGCAGACAAAATCTGCTTTCAGAGGCAAGCAGATTTCTGACAAAGTGACTGACCCTTTGGATGGAACAAATTCACTCTGAGACACGATACCAGCCTTCTTCCTCCTCTGAGGCCCTTCATTCTTCAGCTTATTCAGTTCGTCAATCAGAAGAGCTCTCTTCTCAGCTACACAGAAATATGCAAGTAAAGATTCTAAATATTAGAACTGCTGCTGGACCTGAATGAGGCCAAATCATGAGGGCACACTGAGTTGGCAACTGAACAAAACAACATAGTCAAAATCAGTCACTGTCTCTTCGATGGAACTGTTTGGGTGAAATGTCACCTGCTAGTCTGTTCCCAGCTCCTTATAAAGTGCCAGTTTTTAATCGGTTTTCACCTTCCCACCTCAACTGCTCCATTCCCACATTAGATTTGAGACACAGACAGGAACGTGCACATGTATGTTCATTTAGGATACTGCATTCCAGGTGCATTACACATACTTGCAATCAGAAGAAGTCTTTCTGCTTCAGCTTCTTCCAGGGATCCTTTCCCATGTTCTTCATCAACACAGCAGTTCAGAGCCTGGCTGGCCTGATAGATCACTGTCTGCTGCAAATTTATGTCATTATTGAGCTCCTAGTAGTAAAAGCACAAGAGGAATTAATTAATCACCATTACCAACCTTATTTAAATTTTAATTCTATTTAGACTGCACAATTTCCAAATATTTTAGAAAAGTCCAAATGTTAGTTTTACTGCACAAGTGTTTAGATGACAGATTCTATAACTGTCGGTTAGCTAGGAACATAAATAACTGTGAGCATCACAAAAAATATAACAACAGTAAAAGGTTGTCAATACAAACAATCCAACATTAGTTCACAGTTAAATTATGTGGTGAATCCAAGATGTTCCTGGCAGCACTTATCCCTGCACACCTTCCTGTGGCCATACTTCTGAAAACAGCATGTACGTTGCACGCCATGTAACACCAATGAAGACAACCTACAATGTGACACTCCTGTATTGCAGGAGGCATGGAGGCCTTTGTGATCAGATATTTACTAGGGGATCTCGGAATGTTAAGCACACAGTTGTCCCATCAAGGGAAGGGATGAAAAACCTCCTTATCCAGAAGGCTGGAGCAGACACTCAAGTCTGGTGACCAACACCAGCTACTAAGTCCTGATGAACCAAACTGTCTTTTTGTCTCCCACAGTTCATGACTCTGCTGGCTATGAAGGTCATACTCCATGCCATAAAATGAATTTTTAGTATACATGCAGTTCTCTGCTCCTATAAAACATGACAGTCAGGTGGGCATGTGGCATATGCAGAGGCAGGGGAACCTCTCTGCGTTAGTTCAAGGACAGCCTGGTGTACAGAGAAAGTTACAAGACAGCCAGAGCTATATAGAGAAACTGTGTCTTGAAAAACCACAAAACAAAACAAACAAAAAAACACACAACAGTCCTTTAGTTTCCACACTCAGGAGGCTGAAATACGCAGATCTGAGTCTGAGGCAAGTCTGGGTACATAGCAAGCTCCAGGCCAGCTAAGGGTACATCGGGAGACCCTGTCTCAAAATAAATAAATATACCATACTGCCCTAACTAACTGGACTTTTTTTTTTTTTGGTTGTTTTTGTTTTTCGAGACAGGGTTTCTCTAGCTTTTTGAAGCCTGTCCTGGAACTAGCTCTTATAAACTAGGCTGGCCTCAAACTCACAGAGAACTGCCTGCTTCTGCTTCCCAAGTGCTGGGATTAAAGGCGTGCGCCACCACTGCCCGGCTGGAACAAATTTTTAGTATTTTCCTACCACTGTTCCTTAGCAATTAGTAACAACTTTATAGGGCAGTTTTGTTTTCAGAAGTTGCTATTGTGCTGACGTGAGGTCCACATGGTCACTTGGTGAGTCAATTGGCAAAGGGTCTGCTGCACAAGCATGGGGACCTGGGTCCTGATCCCCGCGCCCACACAGAAAGCACCAAGCAAACAAAATGTTTTATTTAGCATAAAACCCCTTTAAGATCACAGTAAGTTTCACATACTATCATCCAACTAACAGTTATAATTACGTTTTGGGCAGTAGAGAGGTGCTGGGGATTGAACCCAGGGCCTCACACATGCTAGGCATCACTATACTACAGAGCTACACAATCTGCTCCAGGGTGATGATGTCACAGCAATGTGAACCAGCTTCCAACTTTCTAAAAGGGGTGAATTCCTGATGTTAAACTGAATCAGGAGTAACTAAGCTCCCACATGGTAGCCTCACTTCAGTCCCTAGGGGCTGAGGTTAGTAGGGCCGCAAGCTCACAATCTAGTTCAAGAAAGTCCACATTCCCTTCACATGCCAAAACATACCTGCATTTTTTGTTTGATATTAACTTGACAAGAAAAGACATTATTCTTTTCACCCAATTTTGAAGCAACATCTTCTTTTCGAACAATCACTTGCTTTATGGAAGGACGTTCTGCCTCTTTGAACCTTTGAGACCTGTATGCATCGATGCTGCAGGAAAGAGCCACTGTCAGAAATCCACCCAACAACAGACGCTGTCAGACGTCACAGAACCCAATCTCACACTGAAGCACCAGCACACTTCCCCAAAATGGAAATGTTATTTGGTGAAAGGAAACCGACAGAAGTTATTCCAAGCTGGGGCTGCGCATCAGTGGCAGACTCCCTGCTCAGCACGCCTGAGGTCCTGTGTTCACTCCGCAGCCACAGTCATCCCAAGCTTACAAAGCTCCACAAACCAGCGCTAAACTGTGTCGCTTCTCACGTCACCTCAGACGAGGCGGTGGAGGCGAGCCTTCCCCACACACCTTACCTATAGAGAAGATCACGATCCTCAGAACTGATGCTATCACCAGACTCGGCTCGAGGAACACGGGTCCTCTGGAATTTTCCTGGCTTGGGACTTGCAGCACTTGGGCTAGTGTCTCCTAACTCCAATTTGGGTGAAGAAATTACATTCTATATAAAAGTAAACAAGTAAATGAGATGTTAGACTTTCAACATTTTTATATTTTTTGTTTTTATTTAAGAGACATGGTCTTCATTATATAGTCCAGACTAGTTTCCAACTCTTGATCTTCTTGCCACACCCCCTGAAACCTGGGGTTACAGATATGAATCACCACACCCAGGATTTACATACCAGATGTCATGGATATACAACACTAATCCTAAATGATACTTCATTTAATTCTGAGAATGTAATTAATTCCTTTCTGTTATGAGGAAATACATATCTAACACATCTACTGCTTTATAATAAAAATAACAAAACAGATTAAATTTCTACTAAATAAATAGATAAAGAACACACAAATCAGCAAATCCATGAGATGCACTGAAAACTGAAATACCTACTGCCACAGAAGTACTTGTCCACAGAGAAGGACCAAACACCACAGAACCAAACTTCAAAAGCTCAACTGGGGGCTGGAGAGAGGACTTAGTAGTTAAGAACAATGGCTAATGTTCTAGAGGACCATGGCTCAATTCCCAGCACTCATATGGTGGCTCACAACCACCTCTAAAATATAGTCCCAGAGGATCCAATTCCTTCTATGGCTTCTGCAGGCACTGCACATACATGATACATAGATAAGCACTCAGGCAAAACAACATACACATAAAATAAAAATGAAGAGGGAAAAAAGTTCTTTAAGTCTGAACTGAGTCACAAAGTTCTGACTCATGCTCCATATTCGCCTGACCTCTAGTCAGCCAGTAAGACAGACTCAAACATCTCCACAACACTATTTAGAGGAAGATGCTTTCACAGCCAGTAGGATCCAGAGATGCTTTTCAAAAATTCATTTAGTCCAAAAGCACACATTTTACTACACAGTTAAACAAACTTATTTCTCATTGGCAAAAATATGTTAACTTTAAGCTGGGCGGTGGTGGTGCATGCCTTTAATCCCAGCACTCGGGAGGCAGAGGCAGTCGGATCTCTGTGAGTTCGAGGCCAGCCTGGTCTACAGAGTGAGTTCCAGGACAGGCTCCAAAACTACAGATAAACCCTGTCTCAAAAACTCAAAAAAAAAAAAAAAAAAGTCAATGTTTACCTGAGGTCACAGGAACTACTAGAGTTACTAAGAGAATTCTAACAGTGTAGAGGGAAATCCATCTACCAAAAGTGGAAGAAGTGTATTATTCAGCGTATTTTGCTGTAAGTCTGTGTACATATCTTTTCTTACCTCTAGACTTACCACACCAACTGTCTGAGCCAAGGGGCTAAGCAAAGACATTGAAGAGATATTCAGTGCATCTTCCTGCTCTTCGCTGTTCTCTGTGTCCACTCGCTCCAGCCCCTCTTGGCTCTTCTCCACGTCCAGTTCTCCCTCCTCTAGGACATCACTGAAGATGTCATTAATGACTTTGGAGCTATTGATATCATCATCCACATTCATTTCAATTTCACGCACTACTTCTGAAAAACATTTCAGTGGGTAGACACTAAGAACCAATGTGGCAGAGGAGGCTGAGTTTCCATGTCTACTAAAATAAACACAGTTACCCTAAGAAAAATCACTTCCTAACAATGGAGAGAGGACAACTTCCAATGCTTATAAAATCAAGATAAAGCTCATATTTAACAATATTTTAAAAAGTTCAGAGATATTTTCTAAGATATAAAGATTAGATTTACAAAGAAAGTAAACTTAGGGGCTGGAGAGATGGCTCAGCGGTTAAGAGCATTGCCTGCTCTTCCAAAGGTTCTGAGTTCAATTCCCAGCAACCACATGGTGGCTCACAGCCATCTGTAATGAGATCTGGTGCCCTCTTCTGGCCCGCAGGCATATATTGTATACATAATAAATAAATAAATATTTTTTAAAAAAGGAAAGTAAATGTAATGCTTTGGATTTAAGTGACAGTATTAAATAGGAATAAGATTCTGACTTTCAAAAGGTACTCAAGGGCTGGAGATAAGGCTTGGTGGTTAAAGTCTGCTATTATTCTAGAGGACCCAAGTATAGTTCTTAGTACCCACAATGGGCAACTCACAACGACCTGTAACTCCAGCTCCAAAACAAAACACTTTGTTTTGGCCTCTAAAGGCACATCTGAACACACCACCATAAAGACACACACACACACAATTTAAAAATAGTAAGTCATGGCAGGCAATTGGTACAGGAGGTCCTTCTGTCTATGTGTTGCTTTTATTGGTTAATGAATAAAGAACTGCTTTGAGCCTAAGGCAGGGAAGAACAGAACTAGGCGGGGAAAGCCTAGAGAGAAGCCATGGAGCCTCCAAAGAAAGATGCTGGGAACTTTAGCCGGTAAGCCACAGCCATGTGGCGATACACAGATTAATAGAAATGGGCTAAATTAATATGTAAGAGTTAGCCAACAATAAGCTAGAGATAATGGGCCAAGCAGTGATTTAATTAATATAGTTTCTGTGTGATTATTTCAGGTCTAAGCTAGCCAGGCGGCCAGGAACTAACTGGCGGCCTCCCATCTCCTACACGCAATGGTGGCACATGCCTTTAGTTCCAGTGTTCAGGAGACAGAGGCAAGTGGATCTTTGGGAGTTTGAGCCTGGTCTACAAAGTGAGTCTATGACAGCAATGGCCACACAGTGAAACCCTGTCCTGAAAATAAATAAATAAATAAATAATAAAACAATAAATAATAAACCTTAAACAGTACTGTCCAAGCAGTCCCTTCTATTGTTAGATGTCATATCATGCAGCAGTCAGCACAGGAAAATATTAGTCCCATCTCGAGTGATTTAACCGCTAACGGTAGCACTGCTGACTCCCCATGGGAGGCCTTACCCTTTGAGAGGAGTGGGTAGCAGGGACAACTGTGGTTGAAATGCAAAATGAATAAAAAATAAAAGACAAACCAAACAAAAACCAACAGTACCATAGCCCAACGGAAGCTACAGTGTATCCTAGTGTGACAAAAAGGTATTGTAAAGTAACAGGACGGTTAAAATGAGAGTACTATTCTTACATTATTTTGTTATTTTTTACAAGGGATCTAGAACTAACAAGAATAATGCTGTAAACCAACCAGTTTCCTGCTTAGCCTTCAGGTCTGATGCGACTTTTAAGGACTTTTCCTCTTCTAAAAACAATGTTATTTTCAAAGGGCTGGACTTGGTCATTTTGCTTTCAGTGGAACCTAAAGGAGTTTGAAAAAAATCAAATTAATGTGTGTGTGTGTGTGTGTGTGTGTGTGTGTGTGTGTGTGCGCGCGTGCACACATGTGCCAGGAACAACCTGAAAATGTAAAATTAGAGAGTCATAAATCTTTATTAGAAAGCTATGCTTGGCTGGGCGGTGGTGGCGCACACCTTTAATCCCAGCACTTGGGAGGCAGAGGCAGGCGGATTTCTGTGAGTTCGAGACCAGCCTGGTCTATAACAGCTAGATCCAGGACAGGTTCCAAAGCTAGAGAAACCCTGTCTCAAAAAAAAAAAGAAAGAAAGCCATGCTTGTACTTTTAAACATTGAAATCTATAAATGGAGGGAGAAGTGTTTTATCTGTTTTCTCTTAATTTCCTGTTTTTCTCTCCACCATGAGGAAAAATGACAACAATAGTACAAGTTTTCTTTATTCAGACTATTCCATAATTAGTTTTCACCTAAAAAAAGAAAAAGTGTAAACAAAATCACTCAAAACTAAGTCCAGAAGATCATTTCCTCAGACAATAGACGAAAAGTCTTAGGTAACGCTAACACACTCACTGACAAAAGACTGGCAGCATTCCTCTAAGATGGGAAACATAAGGCATGCCTGCTCTCCCTACTGAACATAATCATTTTAAAGCCTTATCAAAAGCAACTAAATAAACAGTAAAGATATAAAAGGCGTCCAAACCAGAACAGAATCACCACGATTTCAGCTCACAAATGGCATCACCCAATGCTGACAACCCTGAAGATGCTACCAAAAACATAAGGCAGCACATGGCCTGTTAGAACTAATACATTTAGTAAATTCAGCATAGCTACATAGAGGAGATAATATCAACATCTAAGGGTGGTTGGTGGCTCACACCTGAAATCTTAAACTACATGGCTAGAGCAGAATTGCAGCATATTCAAGGAAAGCAAAGGCTACAGAGCATAACACTGATGATATCAACGATACATACATACATACAAACATACATCTACACAGCTGTGAACAGTTTCAAAATAACTCCTGAGTGTTAGTTTCTCTGGCTGTCAGGAAGCCTGAGCAATCCTCACCACTGCATAGCCCAGATGTGGTGGCGCATGCTCACCTGTGACCACCGCATAACCTAGGTATGGTGGCACATGCTCACCTGTGACCACTGCATATCCCAGGTGTGGTGACGCATGCTCACCTGTGACCAAAGCATAACCCAGGTGTGGTGGCACATGCACAACTGTGACCCTAGCACTTGGGAAGTGAAGGCAGGAGAATCTGAAGTTCAAGGGGATCCTGAACTATAGCTTGGGGTAGGTAAGAATATAAAAGAAGAAAATACATAGGAATAAGCCCAGCCAAAGACTCAAACATTTGTATCTTAAAAACAGCAAAATTCTGCTAAAAGGAAGATACAAACACGAGGAAACATCTGGTAAAGCGCCAGCAGGACCAGATAATCTGCACACTCAATATGATGTCTATCAAAATCTTCCTTTTCAGAGCAGAAAGACATCCTCAAATTTATATAGAATTTAAGAACCCCCTGAATAGCCAAATCATTTCTGAAAGAGAAGAAAAGATTCACATTTCCTGCTAAAATGTATTATATAGCTGGGTTCAACTTAATGGTACTTTCTCTGCCAGGTGTAAGACTCTTGGTTTCAGCAACACATAAAAGAAAGAAAACAATTACAAAGCTATCCATGATAAAGAGGCTACTATCCAGAATATACGGACGACTACAACAACCCAACCATGAGAAATCGGATGGCTGAAAAATGAAGGAAGCAGGGTTTCGGGGGCAGTGGTGGTGGCAGCTCAGCCAGTAGCGAAGTACCTGCCAATAATCACCATGAGGACCTGAGCTGAATCCCAGAACGCACATAAAAGTCAAACATGGCAGTGTTCACTTCTAATCTAGCACCAGGAAACTGGAGACAGGCAGATGCCCAGTTTATGGATCAGCCATCCTCACCTAACCAGGGAAAGACAGGTTCTAGGTAAGAGAGCCTGTTTCAACAAAAGGTGGACGGTTCCCAAGGAAAAATACCCCAAACCCATGTAGACACACGTGCATGCACACACAGACTGGAACAGGCATGGCAGTACATGCTTATAAACCCAGCACCTGGCGGGGACAGTGGCAGAAATCTGAAGTGATTCCAGGCCATCCTAGCCGACCTAGTAAGGTCCTGACTTTTTTCCCCCAGAAAAAAAACAGTGTGTGTGGGGGGGATGCATGGGTACAGAAGTCATGTTTTAAGAGAGGAAACAAAAATGTCCACCATCGCTATTCAGAAACACAAACAACACAATGGGATTCTCCTTACACTTATTAAGATGGCTACTACCCAAAACAAAAACATCATTATCAAAAACCACTCAAAACAGAAAATAACAATGCTGGTAAAAAGCAGAAAAATTAGAACTTTGTGCACTGTTAGTAAGAACATAAAACAGTGAAACTTCAACGAAACATGATGCAGCAATTCCATTACTGGGTACTTCCGTCTTCAAAAACTGCAACAGGGGCGCAGGCAAACTGTGCGCAGCAGCAGAGAGGGAGAAGGCACTGCAAGTGTACATGTGGAGAATGCGTAAGCAGCATGCTATGTACACATGGTGGGACAGTGTCCAGCCTCCTTCACACAGGGTCTCACTTTCCAGAAATACACCAAGCTGTGACCGTTCTGGTGCCGCGTGAAAACTGCAGGACGTGCAGGAGAACCGAGTTCTTAGGGAGTCCAGGTGCTAGTCACAACTTTAAGCTTCTCTACAGAATCTCGGACTGCATTCTTAAAGATTAAAGGACTACTGCGTGTTTCTTTTCATGAGGCATTTTAAGAAGACAAATTCACAACAACAATGTAAAATGGGAGGATAAAGCATCAAGGAGAATTTTTGTTTAACAGGTACAGTTTCAATTTTGCAAGCTGACTAAGTTGTGGAGATCGATGACAAACGAACAGAGTTAACTCTACTGAAACGTGCACCTAAAGCCAGTAAGTTGTTAAAACTGGTTTTGGGGGATGGGATAAGGATGGGGTTTCATTATTGAAGCTCAGGCTTGATTTAACATTATGAATCCTCTCTTAGTCCATAGAAGACTGAGATTAAAGACATGGACCACCATGCTCAGCTAAAGCTGGTAGAGTTTATGTGATTCTTATTTTTATTTTTAGCTTTATTTATTATGCATAGTGTTCTACGGGCCAGAAGAGGGCACCAGATCTCATTACAGATGGTTATGAGATACCATGCAGGGGAACTCAGGACCTCTGGAAGAGCAGCCAGTGCTCTTATCCTCTGAACCTGAGTTTATGATTCTTTATATATATAAATATATATATATCATACATTATTAAGATAAAAATTTCAGGTGCATGGTGGTGCACACCTTTAATCCCAGCATTTAGGAAGCAGAGGCAGGCTGATCTCTAAGTTTGAGGTTAACCTGGTCTACAGAGTTCCAGAACAGCAGAAGCTACATAGCAAGACCCTGTCACAAGGAGGGAAGGTAAGAAGGAAAGAAAAGAAAGCAAGAAAGGAAAATAAAAATTTCAAAGTGTTTGTGATAAGCCAGGTGTGGTGACTCACCTATAATTCCAACACTTAGCACACTGAGGCAGGAGGATTAAATGTTCTAGGCTAGTGTGGGCTGCACAGTAAGATCCTATCTCCAAGAAGAAAGAGGGATGGGGAAATGGGGGGAGGGGGAAAAGGAAGGAGGAAGAGACAGGGAGAGGGTAGAGGAGTGGAGAGGAGAGAAGGGGAGCTTCCTAGCTTCTGCCACTATGGCTCCTTTGCCACAATGGACTATATTTTCTAGGGCTATAAGACAGAACAAAGCCTGTCTCTGCTTGGGGAGGGGACAACACATTAGCCAAGAGGGAGCTCTTACACTGGGAAGAACTAAATGGTCAGAAATGAGCTGACTGAAGAGGAGAACAGCTCTGCCTGCGTATGGCACAGCAGTGCTCGTCCTGAGTCATCTCGGCCGTCTGCAGCAGCACAGCTTCAGCTACACGGCAGGGGACACTAACCTGAAGGTTCTGCACTAGAGATCTTCACTGCAGTTTGATTTTCGGCCACTTTATCTTTTACAGCAGCCGATGGGGTGTTTGGAACAACTTGATGTTTCTTGAGGGGAGTATTCTGACAGTGAATATCCTGCAAAAGGCAAACGGAGAGGTAAATTCTATTTCTCAGAATTATAAATCTTAGTTTATTAAATGAAATAGAACTATTATTAAATAACATTCTATATGTTTTTGAGTATAAAAGAAATAATATACTATTAAAAGGGTCCAGGCCAGTGTTAATAGCTTCCCGGGTGTAAGACTTCCATTATTTAAAATATTTTACAAGACTAGGAAGTTAGAAAGAATGAAAATTCACATCAGATCTCAGTCATACACAAACCAACTAAAGTGAAGGAAACACAAAAACAATTTCCCCTGTCTTTTTCTCTATTGAGACAGTTCTGACATGAAGATTCTATTTAATCATTTACTCAAAGTATAAAATTCCAAAACAAAATAAGGATAAAAGCAGATCCAAATATAAGGAAGAAAAGCATGCATTGTTTACTGTCTCCATACTGGACTTTCTGATGGACAGGCTTAGTTACTGCCCAGCCCACTGCTAACTCCCCGCAGTGGAGACAGTTTATGATGGCCAGGCATGGTGGCACACATCTATAACTCCAGGCCTGCCTGGTCTACACAGTGAGTCAATGACTGTGAGAAGGATGGAAACAATAAAACACAACAGACTTCTCACCCGAGCCTGACAACATGAGAACCGCATCTCTGCAGTGTCTTATTAACCCTCGTTCAAAGCTATTACTCCAAGATTGGCCCCCAGAATTTAGTGCGCTCCATGACCACAGGCCACACCAGCAACAACCTGGAGTTTCTTAGCATCTTAACAGAGTCTTCTCTGAACTCACAAGTGCTTCTCTAGTTTAAGGCCTGCATCAACAAGGGGCCACCAGGGCTATCCAAGCAACCTCTCAGCTGCATCAAAATGTTAGCTCCAAAACCCTTCGCCAACACTCCAATTTGGCCTCCCCTGAAAATGGTTTGTGCTTCTCCATACACCCAATCCTGACTGTGCCTCCAATCCCCCCAACACTCTCTCCCCTCTGGTCAGCTGATGCTCTTCTTCCTTGATTCTACTTACTTTCTTATCCCTCACCTCCCCCCAGGGTGGACCTCAACCTCAGAACTCTTCACTGCAACCACCTCCTCACCAGTGACATCATAGGGTTCATACCACCAACCTTCCAGACCTCTTGTTTGGGAAAACCCTAACCCAGGACTGACCAAAATTCTTCAAATCAACACCTAGACTCTTAGGTTATTCCTGTGCAATTTTGTTATAGTACACATGTATACTCTTACAGTTCTGGTGGTTTGAATAAAAAATGTCCCCTACAGTTCATGTATTTTAACATGTGGCTGCCAGCTGGAGGTGTTATTTGGGGAGGTTTTGGAACCTTTTGAATATGGAGTCATGCTGGAGGTAAGTATATCACAGGAATGGGTTTTGATGGTTTATAGCCTTACCCTACTTCCTGTTCTGTTTCCTGTTTGTGGATGAAAGGATGGCCAGCCGGTTCCTGCCTCTATGCTTCATTGATTGTTACCATCATTTCCCACCATTGTTGACTCTACCCTCTGGAACACTATGCTAAAACAAACCCTTTCTTCCCTAAGTGGCTTCTGTCACGGTGTTTATCACAGCAGCAGAAAAGTCACCAACACATGGCCACCTGAGTCTCAACAGAAAAGTCACCAACACATGGCCACCCGAGTCTCAACAGAAAAGTCCCTGACACATGGCCACCCGAGTCTCAACAGAAAAGTCCCTGACACATGGCCACCCGAGTCTCAACAGAAAAGTCACCAACACATGGCCACCTGAGTCTCAACAGAAAAGTCACCGACACATGGCCACCTGAGTCTCAACAGAAAAGTCCCTGACACAAGGCCACCCGAGTCTCAACTCTACTATCTTGGTCCCTTCTGGTTCTCAGTTAGCCTCTCTTCCCTTCAAGTATTTCCCCTGCCATGCTCTAGTCAAAGGCAGAGAAGTGAGCGCCTCCCTTTCCTAGAAATAAACACAACAGCCACTAACAGACCCTCAGACCTGGCCAGCAGCTCGGCGCCAGACGTCAGGGCCGGCAGTTTCCACCTTGCTTTTCTCACAAACGGTTCCCTCTCCTCATCCTACAACCATCAGCTCCTTTCCCTTCACCATAACTTATTAACTTAACTCCTTTCTATCAATGCTAAAATATTCCTAAGTCACAGAAAACAAAACACAACAATTCAAACACACTTTGCCTTTTTATACCAAGGCACCACCTCCTTTCTCCCTCCCATTTAGACAGAACTTCTAGCAACTGCCTATACTGGCTCTGCTCTCCTTCCCCTGCCAGCCCTCCTCATGCCTGCATTCTTTACCTTACACATCACAGCAGACTTCGTACTTGAAACCTCAGCACGCACAAACACCAAACAGTCAAATCTCAGTGGACTCATTTAAACCCTCAGGGGATAAACTATCCCTTCTTTCTCAAAAAGGTTTGTCCCCCTGGACCTTTATGACACTCCTGTTTTTTCCACCCATGATTTTGCCTACTCCTTTTGTGATAAACAAATGGGTTTCTGGGGAAGGAAAGCTCTGAACTCCCTGTTAGTATCATATTCTTAAGTTTGGCCACATGCATAAGTGCTGCTATCTCATAGGCTCCCAAGGAATTATTTACTACAACATAATCTAAAGATTCCTGACTCCTTCGGAATCTGGCACTATGGTACCAATGCCAAACGTTGCTAAGAAGTCTAGTTAAATATCTGAAACCAATCAAAGAAAATCATGGATGAACTTGAGAAAAGAAGAGGGAAGAGAAAAGAAAATTGGAACAAGAAAAATAAACCTATGGTAGCGACTGTCACACTGGCTGACAGGCAGAAAGATTGGTAACAGATTAGAAAATATTAACTGGATCTATATATTCAAGTGTGACTGTGTCTGTTTAAGGAGGGACTTACTGAAGACTAACTAGAATAAAGAAACAATTAGAAGGCATATGGAACCTGAAAAGGTTGCAGACACTAAAGGGATCATATGTAGATGTGCTGGGTAGTTTTTGGTCAACTTGACAGAAGGCAGGGTCATCTTGGAAGACTGGCTGACAGGCAAGTCTGTGAGGCATTTTCTTGATTAATAATTGATGTGAAAATGTCTACCCCACTGTGGGTGGTGTCATCCCTGGGCAGGTTTATAAGAAAGCAGGTTGAGCAAGTCATGAAGAACTTGCCAGTAAGTAGCCTTCCTCCATGTTCTCTGCTTAAGTTCCTACTTTCAATTTCTGCCCGGACTTTTTTTCATAATGGACTATAAGATGTAAGCCCAAATAAACCCCTCTTTCCCCAAGCTGTTTTTAGTCAGAGCATTATCACAATAGAGAAACAAACTAGAACAGTAGAAAAGTTAAATAGTCACCAAGGAGAATCGTAGATTCTTAAGAAGTATTTAAAACCAGCATCTAAGTAGAGCACTAAGACTGACTGTGAAAGCTGCAGAAAAACCCTGTCTCAAAAAACCAAAACATAAAGAAAGAAAGAAAGAAAGAAAGAAAGAAAGAAAGAAAGAAAGAAAGAGAGAGAGAGAGAGAGAGAAAGAAAGGAAGGAAGGAAGGAAGGAAGAAAGAAAGAAAGGAAGAAAGACTGACTGACTGTGAGGTCAGTGAGAAAGCTGTAGAGTGGGATGGAAATGGAAACCACAAGGAAAGGAGTTATTTACACCTAAGCACCAGGAAAGGGAAAGAGTAGCGTCATTGGAAAGAAGGTGTTTAAAATCCATTTTACGAAGCTGGGCACAGTGACTCACACGTATAATCCAAGAACTTGAAAGGCTGAAACAAGAGGATTACTTAGTTTGTAACAGTCTAAGCTAGATTTAGAGACCATCCTCTCAAATCCAAAAACTTAAAAACTACTATTACTTTAGTACATCAGGGACTTTTATATTTCTTGTTCACATTACCTTTTGGGTTTCTAGCTGTTTGCTTCTTGACTTTTCATCCTTTTCTGCACTCCATAAATTGCCCTTGTCCAATCGACCACGAAGACATGCTAGTTCTTTTTCACGTTCCTAAACCCATTAGATAAGGCAGTACTTTACACAAGAGCCAACAGCATTTAAGAATATCCAAATACTAGTAAAACATTTCTTAAAAGCATGGTAGCATACAACTGTAGTCCGAGCACTTGGGAGGTGGAGGCAGCAGGAGCAGCTCAAGATGATCCTCAGTTATAGAGCTAGTTAAAGATCAGCTAGAACTTCATAAGGGCTTATCAAAGGAAGAGTTAAAAAATCATTTTTCTTGCTGGCGATGGTGGCACTCGGGAGGTAGAGGCAGATGGATCTCCATGGGTTCAAGTCCAGCCTGTTTTACAGACCGAGTTACAGGACAGCCAACGCTACACAAAGAAACTCTGTCTCAAAAAAAAATTGTACTCAGTTATAAAATATAAAGACTCATAACAGGGCTGGCAGGGGGAAGAGAGCAGAGCCAGTATAGGCAGTTGCTAGAAGTTCTGCCTAAATGGGAGGGAGAAAGGAGGTGGTGCCTTGGTATAAAAAGGCAAAGTGTGTTTGCATTGTTGTGTTTTGTTTTCTGTGACTTAGGAATATTTTAGCATTGATGGAAAGGTGTTAAGTTAATAATGATACAGTTTTTCACGTCCAATTTGCAGTAAAGGGTACAGTGAGCCCAAGTGTTGCTTATTAAAGTCAGGGGTGGTGATCAAATCTATAATCCCAGCACTTGGAAAGCTGAGGTAGAAGGACTTACCAAGAACATAGGGCTAGCCTGGGCTGCCTAGTGAATTCCAAGGTAACCTAGGCTACAGAACGAGATATGTCTTATAACTAGAGCATGTCCTCAAAAGGATTCTCTCTAGCTCAGCCAAAAAGATCCATATTTGGGCTGGAAAGATGGCTCAGTGGGTAAGAGCACTGCCTGCTTTTACAGAGGACCCAGGTTCAGTTCCAATAACTCAAAGGAGGCTTGCAACCATCCCAGTTCCAGGGGATCTGGTGACCTCTTCTGGCCTCTGCAGGCACTACATGTATGTGGTGCACACACATACACGCAGGCAAAACACCCTGACACTTAAAATAAGCACATCTTTTTTTAAAGAGACTCATATTTATTTCTTAGGGTCCATGCTGAGGTCATATAATAAGAATGAATGCAGAAAGCCTTACCTGTTTGAGCTGCTGGGCTACCTGGGTAGTAGAAGAACATGTGTTTTGCTTGAATAACCTTTCCTGGATGGCCTTTGTGTTTGGAGTGATGTTGGGGGTTCTATGGGATGCTCTGTAACTTGGACTTTCTTTGCTGTGTTCTTGACAACGCTCTCCAAAGCGTTCCAGGAAAGGCTTAATTCCTCTTCCTCCTATAAAAACATAGTTTTGAAATCTAGTCAAAAAACTAGCAATTATCATTTCCAAGGCAAAATTCTAAAATCCATTAGGTACAAAATGCTTTGTTTCTAGAAATAGTCATTCAAAAAAGAAACTAAAATTGTTCAAAGAATCTATTAATAACATGCTCTAAATTTTTTAATTATATGTATGTATGTGTCTCTGTATAGGGGTGCCCATTAGTAGAAGTACCAACATAAGTAAATCAGATGTCAATTCCCTTGGAGCTGGAGTTACAGGCACTTTTGAACTGCCTGACATTAGGGCTGAGAATTGAACTCAAATTTGCTCTGAAACAGCTGTACATATCATCTTACATGATGAGTCATCTCTTCAGCCCCTATGTCCTAAAATGTATAGGATTTAGTTAATTAAAAAGGGGGGAGGGGACGAGAAGGTGGCTTAGCTGTTAAAAGTGCTTGTGGCAAAGCCCTGAGAGCCTGCACTGATCCTCAGAATCCTTATAGATTTAGTGGCTCACTAAAACCATTCATCTGAAATCTCAGACTCAGCACTCTACAGTCAAATGGGAGGAGGAGAAATGGCTGGAAATTCAAGAGCACAACAGAGAAATAAACAAGAGGCCCTGCCTCAAAATAACATGATAAAAAGCAACTCCAAAGCCAGGCGGTGGTGGAACACGCCTTTAATCCCAGTACTCGGGGAACTCAGTGAGTTCGAGGCCAGCCTGGTCTACAAGAGCTAATTCCAGGACAGGCTCTAAAACTACAGTGAAACCCTGTCTCTAAAAAACAAAAACAAAAAAAGAAAGCAACTCCAGACAGCTGTCCTCTGACACTCCTACAGGCCACAGCATTCAAATAGGCACATAAATTATTTCTTTTTATAAATTATGAGTTACGCAACTAATAGTTGTAAAAGACTGCTATGTGAAACAGTACAAAGTACACACACACACAAACACACCTGTTGCAGAATATTATTTTAAAAAGAGGACAACACATGGCTTCTCAGCGTTTTGGCTAAGATCAAGTATGAAAGAGAAGAACACACACACTTATATATATTGCCACCTCTACCAAAGGTTGTTATTTAAAGTAGAGTTAACGTATTGGAGGCTGACAACACTTTCCTGCGACAGACATGAGAGTAAAGACTGAAAGAAGTCACAGGAAAGAAAGAAACAGATGTGGCTATTATAATAAACTTTATTTGAAGAGGAAACGAAAACAAACAGCAGAACTCAACATATGGCCATAGTTTGAGGACTACGTGTCTTTTACTACCACTTCAGGTATATATCTTTAATCCCAGCACGTGGGAAGTAGAGGCAGGTGGATCTGAGTCTGAGAGACAGCCAGGACTGTTACACAGAAAAACCTTGTCTTGAAAACCAAAACCAACCAACCAAAGAAAAATCATTGTGACTCCAAAGGATCCTGTAATTATTTCTTTTCTGTTGTCCCTGTCGTCATCACCCCGCCTGCAGCTTCGTGAGTGCTGGACATTAGACCCAGAGCCTGTGCTTACATCCAGGAGCTCTGCCATTTCTAACTGGAGCTCCCCGTTTCTAATCCTCATCTTAGTGCATCTAGAAATTGTCAGTGGCTCTCTGCTTACTCTACTTGAGAAAGACTGTGTTTTCAGGAAGTTAAACATAGGCTAGGGATATGGCAGTTGATAGAATATACACTTAAAGGGCACAAAGTCCCGTTGTTTAATCCCCAGCACTGCATAAACTGGGTATGGGGGTGCATCCCTGCAATAAGAAGATCAAAAGTCCAAAGTCATCCTTACCTACAGAGTAAGCTTAGGGCAAGCCTGGGGCACATTAGCTCCTGGGTCAAAAGAAATACACTCAAAAAAAAAAAAAAAAAGTTGGGGAGTGGACAGGGAGATGGCTCAGTAGGTAAGACCATTTGCCCTGCAAGCATGAGGACCTGAATTTAAATCCTCAGCATCTGTGTGAAAAAAGACAGGTACAAATTTATATGCTTGTACCCTAGCCTTGGAAGGTAGAGATATATGGTTCCTGGGTGCTCACTAGGCTCATTTAGCTTAGCTAAATGGAGTTTTCAACTTAATGGGAGATCCTGTCTCATGAGAGGAAGACTAACAATGCCCTCCCCTCACTTCCACATGTGCATGCAGGCATACACACAAAGTTACACAGTGCACTGCAAAGTCTGTCACCATGTATTTATGCTAACTGTTTTAGTCTTCTGTTTCTCAGTCAGTAATGTGTAGCACACTAGACGGTAAGTCACGAGATAAATATAGCATTTTATAGAACATCAGCTTACTACTATAAGAAATACAAACTTTACTTATATATACAAAGTATACATATATGTAAATATAATGGGCATGCAATACTCTATATACACACTAGTGTCTCTAGTGGTGGGGTGGAGCAGAGACAAATGGATCCTAGGAGTTTGATAGCCCCCAAGCTTAGCCAAGGTAAGATTAGATTTACTCTCATCAGAGTAAAGACTGGAAAGCAGTGTTCTACATCCTGAAGACTGGATCTCCACTAGTCCCCCAAGATGTAGGTTCTAATTTTACTAGATCAGAAAACAGAGGTAGCCTGATCATCCTGTGTAAACTGTTGCAACATAAGAGATTAAATGCTTCTTACCAGCAAACAGCTAGTGTTCTCTCATGAATATGTTTTCTATCAGAGCCCAGTAAGAAAGCTTCAATTCAGTGGTTGGGAAGATAAAACATCATTATGTCAAGGTCATCTTTGTTGGCATAGCAACTCCCCAGACCCTGGAGACTATGGGGATCTACAGATGGAGACCAGCCTGGGCTACTGTAAGTCCCAGGCCAGCCTGAGATACATATAAAGATCTTGACTCACAAACTGGAAAACAATAAGTGAACATAAAATAAAATGTTGAAAATGAGCATACGTAACCTGGTGTTGCAGGTTTGTCTCTGGGTTGGGACTGCAGACAAAAGTCCCTGTTTGCTTCCTCTTTGGTCTGAACTGCCTGGGGTAAAGCTGCTTTCTCCCTTGGCTTCGATGCCTCTGTTTTCAGAGGACTAACGCTTCTGTGAAGTATCTCAGGAATTTGTGCCTCACAGCTCTTAGTACTGGGGGTGAGAGCCTCAGATTTCACAGGGGAAGAGGTGGCTTTCTGAAACACAGGGTAAACAGCAATTCTATCATAGTTAGAGCCACAAACAACTCAAGCCCCACTTCCTTGGCAGCAGCTAAACAACTCACCAAAAATACTGTTCTTCTGTTCTCTAATATATCATACTAACTTGAATGTTTTTTAATCAGCTTATAAAATGCTACTGCTTAAATTGTAGGCAATTTAGTCTCACAATATATTGACATCTAAGTAGATATCAGTGGTAGGGTCACTCACAGTTTTATTAGAAAAATTTCAAATTATTGGATTAGTACTTTTATTAAACTTTCAAATTATGTTACATCAAATTATTTTTAATTAAATTAATATCAATTCAATAAGATATAACTTGAGTATTCATGACTCAAAAGTACTTGGGATAGAAGTGTTTAAGACTTTGAATTTCTTTTAAAATATTTAACAATGAAGTATCATTGGGATGGGACCCAAGCTTAAAGACATAATTAAATTCTGTTACATATACACCTTAGATACTGCCTGGAAATAATTTTAGATTGTCTTAAAAATAAATATTTCGCTGGGCGGTGGTGGCGCACGTCTTTAATCCCAGCACTCAGGAGGCAGAGGCAGGTAGATTTCTGAGTTTAGGGCCTGGTCTACACAATGAGTTCCATGACAGCCAGGGCTACACAGAGAAACCATGTCTCAAAACACCAGAAAAGAAAAAAAAATTTTTTTTTCATGCAAAAAGGGTGGGAGCACAGCTCAATGACACAGTGTTTGCTCTGCATTCAGGAAGCCTTGGGTTCAATTCCCAGTACCACAAATAACAAAATGCATATGAAATGAAGCAAAGTTTCGTGGAACTTCCCACTTGTAGAATCAAGCACTCAGAAGGCTTCATTCAGAATTTTGAATCACTTTGGATTTGAATTTTTGAGATTAGAACTGTTCAAACACTAAATCATAGACTTGAAAGTTGATTATAAAAAATAACCAGGATTCAGCCAGGAACTATGCTATGTATTTTAAGCAGATCAACTTAACTTTCTAATAACCCTGTACACTGATTTTATATAATAAAGAAAATAAGCTTTTACAATATTAAGTAACTTGTACCTAGTCACATTTCTCACTTTATTTCAGAGGTGGAATTGAAGGCAGGTTGATCCAAAACTGTCTACACTGACAGGTCATCTTCAGCAATAATATCAACACTCTTTTTCCTTTTTGTTAAATTACTGAGATAACATTACATGCATAAAGTAAAAGTTCCGAACACTTCAAGTGTTAAATAGAGAAAATGTCATTGCTACATTCCTGTTTGTAAATGGGCCTTCCTTGGAGGCAACTACAAATATAGGGTTATACTCTCTACCCAGAAATATTCAGTATTTCATATTTATACATACTTATAGAGGTATTTTAATGGAGGGATTAATTTTAGTTTTTCCCCAAATGGCCCCAAAGAGGCCCCATCATATTCCATTATTATATACTCTTGATTTTAAAAATTTAATTAATATAATTTCAGTCACAAAATGTTAATTTTAATATTAATGTTAATCTATCTTAATTACCAAATTTATAGTTTCCACTTTTTATAAAACATTCAAAAAACACATTAAATATGCAGGACATATACTACATAATACATAGTAATATTACTATTTATAACAAAAGTTTCAAAAGACCAAAATGGTATTGACTCACCACAGAGCTGGACGCTGAGGCTTTAAGCAATGATCTATCGGCAGCACTTGAAGATGGAGCTTTACTGACAGAGGCATTGCTATCCTTTTGGGAACAGCATGTAGCTTCCTGTTGAACACTGCTACTATTGATGCTAGCAGATGCTCCACTTGCAGAGGAAGATTTGGATAAACAAGTGGTACCAGGCTGTTCTTGTACACTATTTTGCTTTGCAGATGAGTGGCTTACATCATCTTCCCAGGAGCAAATCGTCGCAGCAAGGTTGGCCAGACGGCCCCTTCTCCCAACTGGGGTAGCTGAGGCATTTGAAAGGGGTGGCTTGGAAGGAGAAGCAGCCTTTTCCTCAGATGGCACTGGTGAGAAGTGTGAGCCTTCCGATACATCATCTGAAAATGTTTTCAGAAAAATCAAAAACCATATTCAACAGGTTTTTTTAATGTATAATCACACATTCAACTCATACAGAATTTTTAAGGGATTAATTGCATGCATGAAATATTACATTACTTAAATGTGACATGTTTTTCAAATCAAATTGTACTTAATCCAAATTGAAACACTCTTAACATGTACTTTTTTGGGTTATTTATTTAGTGCCTCTAATTCAAGGATGGGAAGCTGATTTTGAATCTTGTCAACCTACGTAAAGCTGGACACAACAGTGAGAACACATGTGCTGAGGCACACATATGTATCATATACAAACAAATGAAATATTTTACAATTTAAAGATACTATTGTATATTTCACGTTTAATTCTTTGAGTTATAACCTACAGAATCCTTTTGTTTTAAAAATTGAAGTCGACCAATGACGCCCAACATAAAGCTCTAAGATAATAGAGGTGTCTACATCTACACATGTAGCGCTCAACACGTGTGTAAGGACTGAAATGTGCCTAGGGGAACTGAGAAATGGAACCCAATTTTAATTAATTTAAATAAAGGTTACTTATGATAAATGGCTGTTAGGATAGCATAGATTTGAACAATTCAGTATTTCATGTGTAACAAATCTCAGCTAGTAATACCTGATGAAGAATCTAGGCCTGTATGTTCAAAAACTTTGTATATAAGGAAACCAAAATTTGGGGCACATCATTCTCTATATATGCAATTAAGAGAGAGACACCCCAAACCCCATCCTCCTTCTGCCCAAGCTTCTACCCCGGCCTCACCCCTCTAAAACTTCCACCCCTCTAAAACCTCAGGAATCTTGTTTCAAAAGGTTCTTCCTCCTTGTAAACTCTTTTCATATAAATATGTGCTGAAATAAGTTCATTTTACTTAAAAACAAGGGGTGATAAAATGGCTCTGTGGGTATAGATTAGTGGTTCTCAAGCTGTGGGTCTCGACCTCATTGGGGTCACCTAAAACCTTTCACAGCGGTCACCTAAAACCATCTGCATTATCAGATACTTACATTATGATTCATAACAGCAGCAAAATTAGAATTAAGAAGTAGCAACAAAAATAATTTTCTGGTTGGTGGCCACCACAACAAGAGGAAGTGTAAGAGCCTCAGAGTTAAGAAGGTTGAGAACCACTGTGACAGATGCTTGCCAAGCCTGACAATCTGAGTTCCATTTCCCAGACCCACATGGTGGCAGGAGAGAACTGAATCCTGCAAGTTGTCCTCTGACCTCCCCATGAATGCCACCACCCCTACACTTACAAAAATAAAACTTTTAAAATAAACAAACAAATAAATAAATGAAGGCAGGGCAGGAAGACGCCTCAAACTTTCTGTTGTCCAATACTACTCAAAATCTCAGTTAAAATGTAAACTCCGGAGGCAGAGGCAGGCGGATCTCTGTGAGTTCGAGGCCAGCCTGGTCTATAAAAGCTAGTTCCAGGGCAGGAACCAAAAAGCTACATAGAAACCCTGTCTCGAAAATCAAAAAAAAAAAAAAAAATGCATAGTAATGAGGAGCTGGAGAAATGGCTCAGGGTTAAGAGTACCTACAGTGCAATTACAAGAACTGTTATTCAGACCCTAACACCATAGAACAAGCTGGGATCCTGCAACCCTGTAACTCTGGCTCTCTCTCTGACGGACCCACTGCCCTCTTCCTCTCCTCCACATAGGCACAGATGTGCAGCTGTATGCATGTATATACTCAAGCAGACACATATGCACACAAACATACACGGACTAAAATAAATGTTCTTTTAAATTTTTGGTGCAGGGGCTGTTTGGTTCAGCCCCTGCACCAAATTAATAGTACTTGCTGTTCTCCCAGAAAACCTGGGTTCAGTTCCCAACAACCACATGGCAGCTTTCAACAGTCGCTGGGGCTCTCACACCCTTCCTTGGGCTCAACAGGCCAGGCATACACGGTGTATACCTACTTACATACTGGAAAGCCCATAATTTTTTTACATTAAAAATGAAGCTTATCGCCGGCGGTGGTGGCGCACGCCTTTAATCCCAGCACTTGGGAGGCAGAGGCAGGCGGATCTCTGTGAGTTCGAGACCAGCCTGGTCTACAAGAGCTAGTTCCAGGACAGGCTCCAAAACCACAGAGAAACCCTGTCTCGAAAAACCAAAAAAAAAAAAAAAAAAATGAAGCTTATCAATTTATTCATATTGCTTTGTCTTAGTTCTGGCCATGCACCCTAATTAAAGGGTTTTATAATCAAGAGACAAAAGCACACCTTGAGTTCCCCATACTTTTGAGATGCTAATCTAAAGTTTTTCCTATCTATATTTTCTCTGGACCTCAGTTCCTTTCTAAATACGGGTATTTATGAGAAGCCATTTCAAGGATTTTACCCAACAAGTCAAGGAATCCATACAGTTAGTGACAAAAACAGCACTGTACAGAACCACTAACTGGCCTGCAGGGAAGGGTCACTCATTTACCCTTTCCCAGACTGGCATGAGACTGTGCTTTAGTAACCTTTCTTCCCTACCCAGGAGCACTGCACACCTTAGTCTCTAATTTGATAAGTGAACCGAAGAATAGGATTCCTGAATATAGAGGTGAGGGTCAGTACTTTTTCACTGCAAATGGAAAGTAATTCAGTACTAGGTGAAGTTTCTGTATTAGTTCAAGAACCTCAAGATCTACTTCGGTGAGAATGATTCATTTTCATTCATTTTTTATGAATATATTCCTGGCATATCAATTATCTAGAAGCAAAGAACACACATATAAATAAAACAAAAGCACTTACCTTTCATGCTACTCCAGGCTGGCCTCAAATTTATAAACCTCCTGTATCAGCCTCCCAGATGCTGGGATTAAAAACAAGAACCCCCATATCCAGCTACAAGCTGAATCTTACCAAAAGAAATTCAAGGACCACCCATATCATTTAATACCTGCTATATCACTATCCCAATGGCGCCGTTGCTCAGCAAGTTTTTGCATTCGAGTTTTAACAGAGGAGGCGGCAGATGCTTCTGATCTTGAGTTCAGCCCTCTGCCCATGCTGAGCAGCGATGTTGGGGCAGCCGCAGAATCACTGATGGCAGCTGGTGCTGGGGGCTGGGCCTGAGGGGGTTCAGGCCTTGGAGAACAAGGTTTTGCAGCAGTTGGCTCAACAGGTTCTTTATTTTCCAAGTCCAAAACTTCAACTTCAATTTTGTCAGAACATCGTTTTTTTGATGGTGATGGTTTCGTACAAGATTTCTCTAGATCCAAAAGAACAACAAAAACCCACACTGAAACCCTGCAGTTTCGCAGTCTGAAAACTAGGTGGGTACTTACTAATGAGGGATCAGACTTCTCTAATACTTGAGCTACTTCTGTTATAAGAAAAATGCAAAAACCTGTCTTTTATTAACTTTGAAATTAGGCAAAAAAAAAAACCCACCTTTTTTGGGGCAAATATGTCATTTTTTCTGTTAAAACCCTCAATGAAAATAAATGTAAACATCGTCAAGATGCACACATAAGATTGTATAGAGTTTTAAGATAACAGGAACAAACAGCACACACACAAGAATACCAAGTACTTTAAAGAACTTTAAGGATCTCATAGCTCAATCACCTTATTTTAAGGGAAGAAAAATCAAGCTTGGAGAAACTAAGTTGTAGAAAACAGGCTTTCTGATTTGTTTGTTTTTTGTTTGTGAAACGACCTTTCATGGACAATAGCTAAAGTAAGGCAGAAGGGGAGAGAAGTGGGTCTGAGGGCAACTGAACTATCTGTTCTACAGCAAGCAAACAAACCAGCACAAATACTTAGCGTCTCATCACTGAAACTTCTATGGCCATATGTACAGGATGTGAGAGATCCTAAGGGCATCATTCAAAACAAGGCTTCACTTTACCCAGGACGCGGCCTCACTGCACCTCTCGGGAAGAGTATGTGGAAGGGATGTGTACGCGTGCTCTTCTGTGCATGGCACAGGCGTGTGCAGGTGCACATGCAGGTCAGTCAGGTTGAAATGGGTGTCTTCCTCCACGTGCTCTATCTTATCACTGTAACTGGAAGCAGGATCTCTCTCTTGAACTCAGAGCTCATCAGTTCAGCTAAACCAGATGTCCAGTTTGCCGTGACAACCCTGTCCCCATCTCCTGTGTCCTTGCCGTGTTCCAGAATGTACATGATTGCTGGGAATTCAAACTCCTGTCCTTACAATGGTGCTTCAAGTACTTTATCCACTGACTCATCTTCCCAGCCAAGAACATTAATATTTTAAACTAGAATGAAAGGCCAGTGAGATGGTTCAGTGGGTAAACAAGCTTGCTGCACATTCCTGGTAACCTGAGTTTGCTGTCCAGAACCCACACGAAAGGTGAAGAGAGGAAACCAATCTAAGGAATAGGCCTATGGTCTGTCTCCATACACGCACCAGGACACACTTGCCCACACAGACAACAATATATTCTTTTAAACAAACAAAAACTTGGAAGATGCCCACTGGAAATATGGTCCAGCAGCTAAGAGAACTCTGTTCTTCCTTCCAGAGAACCCAGAACCCACATGGCAGCTACCAATTGTCTAGAACTCCAGCTCCAGGGGTTTTAGTGCCTTCTTCTAGTCTCCACAGGCACTGCACACATATGCTGCACAGACACGCATGCAGGTAAAACAGTTATACAAATAAAATAAAGATAAGTAAATCTCCAAAAAAAGTTTTAAATTTTTTAAAGTTAAGAGCATGAGTTTCATAGACACCAAAGTTCTCTGTTCTGGCTTCTGGCAGATCTGAGACCTGAGCTAACAACCTTGAAAAATAACAGAAGGCTGCCCTGGCCCCATTGGCTGTTGCATTTGTCTCCTAAAGACGGGTTCTTCTATGTACATAATAAAATGTTTGGGGCTCATATCCTCCAAAACCCATGACATTTTTATCCCTTCCCCACCCCTGCCCAGTCTTACCTTCACCCCCTGAGAGGGACTGCTGATTATTGGCTTCTGAAAGTGGCTCTCTGCCTCGCTTAGCATGTGCAGACCTTGCTGCTGCCGTGGGCCTCTCAGCCATTTTTCTCTGAAGATTCTCTCGTCTGGCACGGGTTCGTTCAAGCAACTTCTATATTATACCAGTGTTAAAACACAAGGTTAGCCAGAGGTCCACAAAACCTTAGATGCCTGCTAAAACCAACAACTGGTATGTAGGATAACAGTCAAACACATTTCAAAGGTAAAATCCCAAATAATCAAACAAAAATTTACCAGATGAACTAGCATCCCAACATCAAAATTACGAGATTCAATCTAAATATTAATAAGCAGTATGTAAAGACACCTATCTAAGATTTAAAATGCTTCAAGTTTTTGTTCCAATCAAAAGATATAATTTGAGACCGGGGTGATAGTTTAGTGGATAAAGTGCCTGCCATGCAAGCATAAGGACCTAAATTCGGACCCCTAGTACCCGCTTAAAGCCAAGCATGGTGGCATACATCAGGAACCACCAGGGAGGGACAATGTCAGGATTCCTGAAACTCAGTGAAAAACCTGGCTCAAGACATAAAGTGGAGAAAGACTGAGGAAGAAAACACATCAAACCCTTGCCACCATGTGCATGCACACCTGCACACATAGCCACACACATACACACACACACACACACACACACACACACACACACACACACACACACACACAAAGGAACTCTGTATCACCATTCTTGAATCTGGGTTGACTGGCCAGGCCTTATGATTTGCTTTGACTAATAAACTATGGCAGAAGTAACACACTGTGTGACTTTCAATGTTAAGTCCCCAAAAGGCTTGCAGTTTCTGCACTCCCTTTCTTGGACTGGTACTGAAGGGACACTAGCCCTCTTGAGCATGTGGCTCTGGCACATGCTCCTACCCCATTCCCTCTACCTTACTAAAAACCTTTAAATTACATTCCTAAAGCTAGCCACCAATGTCTATTCCCTTATTTGGCCACTTCTTCCTCCTGGTACCAAAGTCCAGAAATCAAAAGCCCCCATTGAGCCGGTGGTGGCGCACATCTTTAATCCCAGCACTCAAGAGGCAGAGACAGGAGGATCTCTATGAGTTTGAGGCCAGCCTGGTCTACAGAGCTAGTTCCAGGATAGGCTCCAAAGCTACAAAGAAAGCCTGTCTTGATAAAAAAAAAAAAAAAAGAAAAAGAAAAGAATGCCTCCTTTGGCTCACCTCATTAACATGGCCAATTAAAATTAAACACCTCATCCTAACACAGGGTTCCCTTTCCCTGTATAAACCACTGCTTGCCTATGGGCCGTGTCTGTCTCCTCTCTATCCAGAGGCAGTCCTTTGTCCTTCCCCCTCACACCCTATCTCCTTTACCACCACATCCTGGCCCATTCTCACACAGACCTCCCTTAAAAATTACACGTTATGAGGTCATTTGCTGTTTTCTGCCTGAGTCAGAAAGCAGCCACTTTAACTTTTCTTCCTCTCTGTGCAAACAGGCGTTTGGGTGTGGTTTGTGCCCCCACTGTTTGGGGTTCCCCTTCAGGCACATCATGAGCAAAGTCCAGGTTTGGCATGCTGGAGCAACAACTCCACCGAATGCCTGCATTATTGCATCTAGCTCCAGGTAATTTTCCATAACACTAAGAAACGCTACAGAACTGCCAGACAAAACCAACAGATAAACAGCCAGTTGAGCCCAGTTGGCCAAACTCCGGTGTCACTGAATAAAAAAGAGATGTGGGTGTGGAGGAGCAGGGAGGGAATATGGTGAGACTGCACAGTATGTTAAAGCATATGCTGCCAAGTTTGACCTAGAATTTACCCTTGGAACCGATGTGGTAGAAGGAAAGAACCAATTGCCTTCTGCATTCCACATGTGCCTGGCATGCATGCACTACCACCCCCACACAAGTAAATAATGTAATTTTGTTTGTTTGCATGTAAAAATTCACACATGCATCCATCTAAGTGCTCATGGAGGCCAGAAGAAGCGGTTGTGAGCCACTCAATGTAGGTGCTGAGAACAGAACTCCACTCTTCTGCGGAACAGCTTTCTTCAACTGCTGAACCATCTCCAGCAAGAAAAATTTAAATTAAAAAAAAAAATCTTAGTATATGCCTGGATGTGGGTGAACAGCATGCATGCCTGTGCCCGTGTAGGTCAGAAGAGGATAGTCACCCCCAGAACTGGAGTTATAGATGGCTGTGAATTGCCACATAAGTGCTGGGAACTGAGCCCAAGTCTTCTTCAAGAGCAACATGAGCTCTTCGCCACTGAGCCACCTTCTCCAGTCTCTCCCATTAAAATATATTTAACAGAAAGTAGTTGTTGTTTAAGTCAGTATGCTAGACAGAAAAATGGTACCTCAAAAAATGCTTGTGTTCTAACCCTCTGACCTATCAATGTGACCTTAGAGCAAAGGGGTGAGAAAACAGATTTTCTCTTAGAGCTTCCAGAAGGAATGAAATCTTACCCACACTGACTCTGACTCGATTAAACCCACTTCAAACCTATGACCTATAGAACTGAAATTTTGAGTTACTAATTTATTTATTTATTTATTTGAGACAGGGTCTCCTGGATCTTATGTAGACTAGGCTGATCTCAAACCCGCAAGAGATACACTAGCCTCTGCCTCCTGAGTACTGGGATTGGAAGGGGTACAACACAATGCCCAGTTTAAGCCATCTAAATTTATAATTTGTTACAGTTTCAAAACTAATACAGATGCTCAGATCTGAAGTTGTGACAAGCAGCAAAAGAGTGACCCAAATAGGAAGTCTTTCATAACACACTTCCCAAGGAGAAAAATGCTAAAATATCTTGTTTTATTAAATAAAAACTAATAAATACATAAAATATCGTAAGTTCAAATCTTAGTCACTGGATAAATTCATGAATATTCCTTATTTCTTACTCTCAATTGACAGACATTCCTATTTGAACCAATGTGATATAAAACAATTTACTCTCCCTCAAATGCACATAATTAAAGGGCATAGATATTCACCACCCTGCATATATAAAGCAGTAATTAATACAGATAGGGATTAAGCTATTTATTTGAATTCCTTTAAGAAAGCCTTAGAAGGAGCACAAGGCCTATCAAGTGTGGTGGTCACTCTTGTAGTCCCAGTACTCGCAAGGCTGAGGACGGAGGAGGTAGAGAGATCATGAGTGGGAAGCCAGCATGGGATACACAAAGCTAGTTCAAGCTAGCCTGGCCTTTATGCAAGACTCCACCTAAAACAAAACAAAACATGAATAAAACTTGGGTTAAGGTGCAACTCTGCACTTAGATACATCTTCTAACTTAAGGTTCACTGAAAGAAATGACAATCAAAATGCTGGGCAATTAAAATCTTTTATGAGCCCACGACCTTCATCCCCTAAAGAAATCTTCTTCAATCAACTCAAAAGTCATCAGACTGCTATACAAATTCATAACGGCTTGCTAATCTTTTGATAAAGTCTATCACTCTGAGAAAACACCATAACCCTAACTATATCCACTATGGACATGCCCAGCATTCCATTCCCTGCGGTCGAGTACTTGAGTCAGCACAGCAATGGTTCACAACACAAGAATGTGGTTGGTTTTGCCACTCAAATACACACAAGTGCTCTACTGTTTGCAATGGAGTCAAAATTCATACATGATAGAGGAAAATTTTAAATACTCTAAAGAATAAAATAAGGTTACTAAGTGCCAAAGATATTTTATTCAAGAAATAATGTCCTCTATATTACATAAATGTAAGTGCTCAGTATTTTAAGTAGACCTTCTTTATACTGCATCATTTAAATATAAAATATTTTCCTTAAAACAAAAATTAGAGCTTCAGGAACCAGCCAGAGGAATAGGATGGAGGACGTAAAAAGGAAAGCAGTGAGAGAGAGGGATGAAGTAAAACAAAGTAAAACGACACATCCGTATGGAAATGCTGTAGCAAAGCCCACAGCTTCAAATGCTATTACTGTTTTATCACACCTTCAGGAAGGTGTGATAGAGTACACCTATAACCCTAGCACCCAGAGGATGGAGACAGGAGGATCAGGACTTCAAGGTTACAGAAAGCTGGAGATCAATATGGGATGCATAGAGCCTTTCTCAAATGGGGTGTGGGGGTGTAGCTCAGTCTTTACAAGGACTTGTGTTCAATCCTGACCAAAAGTAAAACTTCTATCTGATATGTTAATTCAACAAGATGCTTTTAAGTATGTTTGATGTTGGAGGAAACATGTCTGAATGGGAGAAAACAGCCCATTTAGAACGCACACATTCTGGAAGGAAACACATTTAACAGATAGTTGCAAGTGATATTTGTGATTTGGCAATGAAGCTCCAGAGATGAACTTGCAGACTGGAAGCTAAATGTGAGTTTATACAGCAGAAAAGGCTGGTGAAGTGAGAACCGCCGACATCAGGGCGGCAGGGAGAGCACAGGCCCGAGGCAGAGTGTTGTCCAGGACTGTAGCACGTGATACAGGAGTTAGTAAGAGAACGAGGTTCATTTCTTTTCTGTTTCATGACAGCATTGGTAAGGAATCACTCTGGGCGAAGTTTTTTAAAATTAATTCCTAATAATTTTCTGTGTTGCATGGTTTTGAGTAAGACACTTGTTTAAAAAGTCATTTATATTGACATCAGTCCTTTTTTAGACAAAAAAAAAACCCTATCAGAAATTCATTTCACAGTGCATAAATGTTATGAATGCTGTCACTGAGCACCTCGAAGCTGGAGCTCACTACGGGGCCCTCATTACCAATTAAGGTAAAGCTGTCAGAGCTGTGATTCCAGTAGCAACAGACCTCGCTTTTCAGAATATAAACTACAAGTTAAGGCATGCACATTTCCCAAACACTTTCTAAAATGCCCCAGACTGGAAGGTTCTCTTTATCTGAGTTTTGTACGAGCTTCCAAAGGGCATTTTTAATTAAAAGTACAAATTTCAACCAAACTTCTGAAGTGTGTTGATCCTGTCGGTTACTAAAAACATACAGCATTGTTCAAAGTAATTTTATTCTTTTAATAATATGGAATATCATTTTTAATGGTTATATAATCTAGAATTGTGGTAATTTTTACTGACATGCAAGTTTTAAGAATAAATGCTTTCAATAAAAAATTCAAACTCATAGGCAAACGAATATATATTTTGGGACAAAGTTTCTGTGTATGTAGCCATGGCTGTCCTGGAACTTGCTCTGTAGATCAGGCTGGCTTGAACTCAGCCATCTGCCTGTCTCTGCCCAGCTGACATAAGTCAGTCTTTCAGAGATTCATTGTAAATGACAGGTATTTGGTGAACAGTCATCCCTATTCTCTAAAGCTGCCACAATGTCCTGGATGTTTCCACGAGAATTTTCTGCAGTTCATTTATTTTTATTTTAGCTTTCATGTACTCCTGGGTACCACATGTGTATGGGATCTGGTGCCTGTGGAGGCTAGAAGGAGGCACTGGGTGTCCTGAGACCACAGTCACAGACTGCTGTGAGAGGAGAATGGGTGCTGGGATTTGAACCTGGGTCCTCTGGAAGAGCTGTCAGTGTTCCCAACAGCTTAGCCATTTCTCCAACCCTCTTCTGGCTTAAAGTTAACATAGTGTTGTTTCCCTCAAAATAACGGAGAACTTCAAACATGGGGAAAGCACAACGGTCTTGTTGAAACCTTTAATTGTTGAAACTCTATGTCTTGGGCTTAGCTTGTGAATTCAACTATTAGGTACACTACCCAAATTAAATTATTACTATCTTCTATGACATTTTCCAATGTAGTAAAGAAACACCGTACGCCCACTTTGCAAAACTCACAACATAGTCTTGAAATTTGCAAATCAGCTTAAAGAAAGAAAAGAAAAAGAGGAACTGTTCTGGAATAAAAGAGTGGGCAAATAGCAACGGGAAATTCCTTAATGTCAGTGCACAGCTGCAACACGAAGCTAAAACTAGAGATAAAGAATAGGGTTAACAACCTACTCGAGACCCTATTCCCAAGGGAGAGACGAGGAAGACACTGTTGGAATGATGTGCTACATAAACACTGGACAGTACAGTAGCCTTCCATCACACGCTAATAATTCCGGTTCACACAATAAACACCGTTCCCTTTTAATCTGTGTTAATCCTGCGCATGAGACGTCTAAAGTTAGCGGAGCAGAGACGTCTGAAGGAACTCGCGGCTAGAGCACCTGGTCGCTGCTGGGACTTGGCTGATTTCATCACGGGATTCTTTAAGTGCACAGCTCCTCAGGGCCGGTGAAGCCCTTTATCACCTCCCATCGGATTCCCAGCACACAGTACGAGTCACCGGGCAGACTCCACCCTGCCAACTATTCCAGCTTTCCGGCAGGACCGGTCCCAGCCGACCGCAAGCCGCACTCTCCCGGGAGAAGGCGGGGCGGAGAAAGGAGGGAAGTGCGCTCTCTGTCACCGGGAACCGGAGGGCAGGGGCACGCCAGAGCTCCCGGCGCTCGCACTTGGGAGGTGGAGGAAGGAGTTCGCGGCCAGCGCGGGGTTTCTGAGGCCCTGTCTTCCCTGCCTTACCCGAGAGTCCAAATCCGCCCTGTCTCCTCCGCGGCAGCCAGAGCGGCAGGCGGCCTGCGACCCCGCGGTTTCCGCCCGGCAGCACGCTCGCGGTGCGCACGCGCCGCGCGGCCCGCCGGTGGGCCGCAGGCTGACAGGCAGCGCGGACGGGGGTCCGCAGGGGTCATGGTTCACAGCACCCGCAGAGTCTCTCACCTCTGTAAACGGGTCCATCGCCCCAGGCCTCACGTGTGGCAGACGAGACGGTGGGTTCGGTGGTTCAAATTCAGGAGAAGGAAAGAAGTGAGTGCGGGCTCGGCGCAGCTCCGGTGGAAGGCAGGAGGCCGGGCGGCGGGCTCTCCCACACCCAGTCGGCTCTGCCCTCGGTGCCGGCTCTGTCGCTGACCACGGCCGTTCAAATTTGAATTTCAGCGCCCCGGACGGCGCGCATGCGCGGGGGCCGGGCGGGGCCGGGCGGGCCGAGCCTCGCTTGTCCCCGCCCCGGAGCCCGGTCACGTGACACGGCGGCTCTTGCCTTGTCCCGAGCTGCTGGCCTTCCTGGTCGCCGTGGGTGGGGTCGCTCCTGCCGTTCAACTGCCTTGGGAGAGCGCCTGCCGTGCCGCTCGCACCCACGCATGCTCTAGCAGGTCCTTTCGTGGTTCCGTCAGCTCCCGCCGCCCTGCCTTCTTCCTCGGTGGGCCTTTACGAATCCGGCCTGGGTCTCCCGGGCCCTTGGGCTTGAAGTCATCTGTCTCCTGCCACCAGAAGAGGCATTGGACTGCAAGCTTGACACTCCTGAGAGGCCACTCTGGTGGGTCCCCACACTCGCATTCAGTAACTAGTTCTTTGTCCTTGGGAAAAATAACAGTAATAGACCGTGCGACAAGTTCATTCACAGGCCCCTCGATTTCAAATCCCAGCCACCTGTACCCAAACGTCAGCACTGAGAACACTAGGGAAGCCTTCTAGTTCAATCGTCCACATTTGAGAGCAGGGACAATTGAAAGGCCTGTTTTTAATAAAAGTTCCCGTTTACCAGCCAGTAAGCAGGACAGAAATTACTTCCCCAATATCTCTTTATCTGAATTTCTTTTTCCTCTTCCTGGGAGGGGTCTTTTGTAGATGCTCAGACCCAGGGTGTCCAAGAAGCAGTGTCTAACAAAACAGGGCTGTCAAAGCTCCAGTTGTAGAACTGTTTGCCTTACCCAAAAAGGTTGAGAAAGCACCCAAATCTATATGCTCCTTGTGCCCAAGTTGGTGTTTGTGAGACCTAAAGTCTTGAGGAGTGTGTACGAGAAAAATACACGAGCAAGGCCTCTGGTGAGTCTGTGTATAGTAACTGGGCCCATGACAGGATGGAGGATGCTTTCCTAATTGAGCAGAAAATTCGATGGCAACGTGTCGAAGGGTCAGGTCCAGAGTCAGAAAGCTAAATAAAAGTAGGAAGCTTGGGACTGGCAACAAGGCTCATGCTACGAAGGCCCTGGCTGCCAAGCCTTGGAACCTGAATTCTAGGCCAAAACCAGGTCCAGCAAATTGTCCTGTGGCCTGCACACACAAAGTAAATAAATGCATGTAAAAATAAAAATAATCTGTAGATTGTCATAAACTGAATTCTGGACATGGAATAAGAGCAACTTTTAAGAATACAGCTTTGTCGGAGGTGGTGGCGCACACCTTTATTATTTAGCACTTGGCAGGCAGAGACGGGTGGATCTCTTTGAGTTCGAGGCCAGCCTGGTCTGCAAGAGCTACTTCCAGGACAGGCTCCAAAGATACAGAGAAACCCTGTCTCGAAAAACCAATAATGATAATGATAATAATAATAATAATAATACTGCTTCCGTGCTGGGACCACAATATAACAGGAATAATAAACTTCCCCAGTTCCTTGGAGCTGTGGGATGATAAAAGTGTGTCATGTATGGGGTTGCTAGAATATAAGTCAAATGTGCTACCTATGAACCAAAGGGAAACGAAGCCTGAATCTTTTTCAAGATTCAGTAAAGGGGTGTGTGTATGTGGGGTGTGGCTGTGTATGTCAGTCTTGGGAATGAGTCATGGGAAATTTATGTAGCCGTTGTGTCTTCTGGCTGTTGCTCTGGGATCCTTGGTTTCATTATAAACAACAATTTAATTCTAGCCAGCTTGAGCAAAGCAATAGACCTGCTCTAAACTTGTAGTCTCTCTCTCCGTACAAGCCCTGAAGGATTGGCCATTGACTATGTCTTAGTTGTAATAACAGTAGGGACAGTAGCTCCCACAGTCCCATAGCTCCCATGTCGGAAGCGCCTGGTATGACCAGACACCATGCTTCAGATTCAAGGCTGCTCCCCTAGACGGCCGCGGTTGTCTCCCACGGCAGTTCATTCTTCTGTTTATAACCTGGAATAACTTTTCTCATTAAAAAAATCTTTGCTAGGTGTGGTGGTAATGCATACAGTCTCAGCACTTGGGGGGAGGGAGAAGAATCAGGAGTTCAAGACCAACCTCTGCCTAAGAAAAAGAAGGAAAGAAAAAATACACATACATACATGTTCATTTAAAATGATAACCAAGGACTGGAGGGATGGCTCAGCAATCGAGAGCATTGCGGTTTTTCCAAAGGACCCACCTTCAATTCCCAGCAGTCACACAGTGTCTCATAACCATCCATAACTCCAGTCCCTGGTGTCCAGTTCCCCCTTTAGCATTTGTGGACACCAGGTACACACATGATTCACAGAACTACATGCAGACAGAACATCCATACATAAAATGTATGTCTTTTAGAAAGACAAAGCAGAGATGATGAGCCCGAGAAAATGAGTATTTCCTCTTTGGAAGATCTGTTCTTTCAAACAAGTAATTATGTCTCTTGTAGATAAAAGTAATGGGGAGCTTAAAAACCCCCACAAAAATGTGGTAGCATCAACCTCATCAAGAACTCCAAATACATCCATTTCCAGTTAATTTTTCAAAATTCACATACAGTCCCACAATTGACAAAGTAATACAATAACAGATATTTGTATTTTTACAGAGGGAAAAAAGGCCGAGACCTGAGCAGAAGGCAGTGACGAGAAGGATCAGACAAAAGTTCTCCGCCTCAGGTTACCTCGCTGACGGCCCCTTCTTTATACATGTATTGTAGTGAAGAAATGAGAACTACCAAAAGTTAATATCAAGTGGAGCATGGGGACAAAAGGCTGAGGCAGAATGACTTCCTTGCAGGGCTAGCCTTTGCTACATAGTGAGCTTCAAACCAGCTTGGG